CATTAAAATATTTAACTGGACAGGCCAGTATATTGTGGATAAATCAAACATTCATTATCGTCTAGGCCATTCTTTTAAATTTTAAAACTTTTTTCGGGATGTTTGTATTTTAAATTTTAATCTTTGCTTTTATAATTGACACCTTTTGCAATCTAAATATTTAAACCCATTTTGGGAAAAACGGGAATCCCTTTAATCGGGTTTTTCTTTTTAAAAAAATTATATATCTTTTTTAGGGAAAAGCAACTCGGGTTTTACAGAATTTAATTTTTAAAGGGGAATTTTAAAAAATTTTTCAAAATGGTCACCCAAAACAAAAAAAATAACATTTTATCCCCATCAACAAATTTTTTTCCAGTAAGGAAACCTACCCCCAATGGGGCCCAATTCCTTTTTTTAGCTCAACTATACGAATATATGGAGAGCGGGTCCAAACTCGCCCCGGCGTGGGGCGTGGGCGTCCGGGTCCACATTTGGGTTTAAAAATTTTTGGGTCCGGGTTAAAAAATATTTTTAAACTATAACTTTGTCATTTTTTAAGTATAAACTTCAACAATTTCCCCAAATATATGTTTTATCAAAAAACCACCTTATTGCCCAAGGGTTCTTTAACTCTACCCCAATATTTTCAAATTTTATCTCCCTTGAATTAAAATTTTCCTTAAAAAAAACCTTTTTTAAAACTGTTACTTTTTTATTTCAAAAAGGGATAAACCCTAAATTACTTCAAATGTATGAAACCTTCATCATCCCCATTTTTATTGAAAAAGGTTAAATAATTCTAAGCCCCCAATATTTAAAGATTTATCCCCCTTGAATTTTAAAAATTTTTTTAAAAAAAAATGCATTTTTTTTACTATTTTTCTTTATTTTTTTAAAAGGATCAACCTCAAAACTTCAAATATATTTACTTTAAATCTCCCCCCCCAATCTTAGTGGAAAGGGTTTCCATAACTCAAAGCCCAAAATATTTTCAGATTTATCCCCTTTTTGAATTTAAAATTTTCCTAAAAAATTTTTAATAGTTTTTTACTGTTACTTATTTATTTCTAAAGGGATCAACTTCATACTTCAAATATATTTACGTTATCATCATCCACATCTTATGTGACAAGGTTCATAACTCTAGCACCAATATTGCAAGAATTATCTCCCCATAAACTTAGATTTTTTTACTAGAAAAATGTTATTTTTTATTATAACTTTTTATTTTTAAAGGTATCTACCTCAAACTTCAAATACTTATTCCTAATCATCAAATACATTTATGTGACAATGTTCATAACTCTTGAAGCAATATTTATAGATTTATCTCTCTTTGAACTTAGGATTTTCTTTAAGAAATATAATAACTTCTTTACTTTTTAAGGTATCTACTTCAAACTTCAAATTATATATATTTCTTTATCATTACACAAATGCTGTGTGACAAGGTCCATAACTCTAGCATGACTATTTCTAGAATTATTCCCCTTGATCTTGGAATTAATGTTAACAAATGTTATTTTTTTACTATAACTTAATACATAATTATACATAATTGATTTTTCTTTCATAGTTTTGTCCTCCTTACTGCGTCCAGTATTTTATTAGTCGAGCTTCGCTGTCTCCTGTGACAGCTCTTGTTACCATTAGGATAAAATTATATATGTGTAAATTATATGCTATTTTATCCTTTGTTTTCATGAAATAAAGATTTCATTTATATCATCTATTTACATGAAATACATGTTACTAAAGTTACCTCGAATATTTTATTTAAACATTTAAGTTTAGACCGAGACCATTCATAGTCATCTAGAATATGAGGGGTGTTTGATAGCTTTGCGGAATTTCTGTAATATTGAATTCTGGAAAAGAAAAGCAAAAAACTAAAATACATTATGACATATGATTGCTCATAAATAAAGCCAGGTGTTTAAAATGCTGCTGCAATCTTAAAGTCAAGCTCAACCTTTTCAAATTTTCTGGAAATGAAAATAAAAGTGTCAGTTGTGCTCGGGCTAAATTTAACCTCACACTAGTATGTTTAATGAATTCAGTATACATGTATGTAGGATAGCAGTCTGTTTCAAATCATCAAAACAGTTGTTGCTATGGAAACCATTTATTCTTCTTTATTATAAAAATTTAATTACCTACCTGGTAACGTAAGAGAAAAAAAGTTGTATAACATGTTTATCAGTTTTCAGAATTCTGTGAATTTATCAATCAGCCCATATAGACTATTGATATTTGTCATCCTATATTTACAAGAATAGTCATTTTACCCCCACAAACGAAGTTTAGGGGGGGGTATATAGGAGTCAGCTTGTCGGTCGGTCCGTCCGTCGTTCCACATCATGGTTTCCGGACAATAACTAGAGGTTGGAGTGAGGTATTGTAATCAAACTTGGTATATAGCAACCTTATGTGGAAACCCTGGTTGGTATTGCATTTGGACCCCCTGGGGTAAAGGTCACCATTACTAAAAATAGAAAAATGTTATCCGGACGATAACTAGAGTTTGGAGTGAGGTATTGTAATCAAACTTGGTATATAGCAACCTTATGTGGAAACCCTGGTTGGTATTGCATTTGGACCCCCTGGGGCCAAGGTCAAGGTCACCATTACTAAAAATAGAAAAATGGTTTCCGGACAATAACTATAGTTAGGAATGAAATGTTTTAATCAAACTTGGTATATAGCAAGCTTATATGAAGACCCCGGTTGGTATTGCATCTGGACCCCCTGGGGCCAAGGTCAAGGTCACCATTACTAAAAATAGAAAAAGGTTTCCGGACAATAACTTAAGTTAGGAATGAGATATTGTAATCAAACTTGATGTACAGCAACCTTATGTGGAAACCCCGGTTGGTATTGCATTTGGACCCCCTGGGGCCAGAGTCAAGGTTACCATCACTAAAAATAGAAAAATGGTTTCCGGACAATGACTTAAGTTAGGAATGAGATATTGTAATCAAACTTGGTATGTAGCAAACTTTATGTGGAAACCCCGGTTTGTATTGCATTTGGACCCCCTGGGTCAAGGTCACCATTACTAAAAATAGAAAAATGGTTTCTGGACAATAACTTAAGTTAGGAATGAGATATTGTAATCAAACTTGGTATATAGGAAGCTTATATCAATATCCTGGTTGGTATTGCATCTGGACCCCCTGGGGCCAAGGTCAAGGTCACCATTACTCAAAATAGAAAAATGGTTTCCTGTCAATAACTAAAGTTAGGAATGAGATATTGTAATCAAACTTAATGTATAGCAAGTTTACATGAAGACAACAGTTGGTATTGCATTTGGATCCCCTTGGGTCTAGGTCAAGGTCACAGTTACTAAAAATAGAAAAATGATTTCTGGACAATTAATAGAGTTAGGAATGAGATATTGTAATCAAACTTGGTGTTTAGCAAGCTTACATGAAGACCGCACTTGGTATTGCATTTGGACCACCTAGGTTCAAGGTCACAGTTACTAAAAAAAGAAAAATGGTTTCCGGACAATTACTAGGGTTTGGAATGAATCAAATAGCAATATTGTAATCAAACTTGGTATATAGCAAGCTTATATCAATATCCTGGTTGGGATTGTGATAAATTGAAATTATTCTTTCTGATACTTTATTTACTGTAGGTTGAGTTCAAATTTTTCTTCAGACAACTTATTTTTCAAAAGTCAAAGTTGTTGGTGGGGGTATTAATCACCTTCAGTGATAGGTCTAGTTATGCTACATGTATATTTACATGAAATAGTCTTTAACCTTTATTTACATAAAACATAGCAGGTTTTTCTTTTTGATATCTACATGAAATTAAGTTGTAATCATTTACATAAAACATTGGCATTAACCTTTATTTACATGCATTACTCATTCATTATACATGCATTTTATTTACATGAATTAATAAGTAAAATTTCTGTCATTGCCCCATATTTACATGATTTAATAGGTAAAATTTCTGTCATTGCCCCATATTTACATGAATAAGGTTGTTTTTATCCATTGTTTACATTACTATTTTACATGACTGTTCTTGTAGTTGAATCATTACAGTGAATATTGAGACATATTAATTAAACATCCCTCTCTATTTATATACCATTGCATTGAGACACATGGACATACCAATATATTTCAAAGTTATCATAGAAATTCAGGCAAAAATTCTTTGTCCTCTCCTGACAAAATGGATAAAAAATATCTGATTGAGTGAGTCTAAAACCATTTTAGTAATACATTTAGTTATAACACATCATACCACTATTAAATAGTGGTTGACGATCCTGCAGAGATAGTCTGTACACACACATGTGCCATCTTTATTGGTCCTATATGCAAATCAAGATTTTCTGCACTTTTGGCTATTCAGACAGTGCTTATTTGGTTATTTTACCTACAAATGGTTATGTCCAGATTAAAAAAATTGAAAAGTCTGTTTCAGATATTAAGTGACATAAGCATAAATGTATTCCATTGAATTTCACATAGGTTTTTGGGATTATGGTTGTAAGTCTTTTTCCAAGACCCACAATTATGTCATTGGTGGTTTTGACTGAATTTTCAACCTATGAGAACTTACAAAGTCCTGGTTAAAGTATAGTGTACAAGATCAAATCTTTACAATTACTGAAGGTCTTAAAATTTTCATGTAATTGAAGGTTTCTTAATTAAGGCCCATATATCTAACATGGATTTTGAGTGAATTTAAAGCTCTCTGTAATGTTACAATATAATAAATGTAGATTAATTTCTCAACGATAAGAGGTATTCTTCATAATTGTTGGTAATTTTCCATAATTTTATGCAGCCATAGATTTGGAATTAAATCTTCCCTTTTTGTCAATTATTTACACCGGCTAATCATCAAGCCCAGAATAGTTGAGCCATGCAGTTCAAATGGCATCTCTCAAAAAATTTCTTAAAATACTCATGTTCCTAATTTAAAACAAGCCCCACTTCACACAAGGTTAAATAGAATATTGTCTGGAAGTTTTATGATTGCCATGACCTCTAATACAGTGATAAAACATTAAAATGAATACTTTAATGTATTTTAAATGCATGCAGGTTATGTTTATGTCTGTATTTTGATTGTAGATCAGAATGGAAAGAGAAGGAGTGTAAAATGTACCTGTATTTGACTTCAATTAAAAAATTAAATAATTAGCATCATCGTCACTAAGTCTTGCCGAAGTTCTCTTTTATTTTAAAACTGTGATATGCAGATGTTGTATTGTTATATAATGGAGGTGAAAGGTGTCACCTTAGTGCAGTAATGGGTTAAGTCCTTCTAAATTTAATAGGAATTAACCAGTTATTGCACTTAAAGGTGACAATTTTCAATGTGAACTTATTTCAGGGACAGACCTTTTTTGATGCAACTTTTAATTATATAACTTTTGTATCCTATTGAAATATTTTTCTTGTTTTTGGGGACAAATTGTTACCTAAGTGCATTAATGGGCTAACTACTACAGAATTTATTAGGAGTAAACCAGTTACTGCAGGAGTTAACCAGTTACTGCACTAAGTTGACAATTTATTATATGCAGTATAGTAACATGAGACACGTTAGACTTATCTCTGTAGATTTTTATAGATTTTTTTTTCTTCATAATTTTAGATTTTATTTTTAAATTGACATAATGAAATAGTGATATAAATAATGTTCAACTTTGAACTAAAACTAAAAGTTTTTTTTTCTTCTATTTATATACAAATGTAGCTATTGTGATCATTTGGAGACCAATTCAGTTGTCTGTTGTGAACATAATAAATTTGTTAAAAATTGCTAAAATGACTCCAGCTTGTAAACAAAACAGCCAGAAGAGCTAGAAATAGAATAATAAAGGACATTTCAAAAATTGCTAAAATCATTCCAGTTAGCTTAATATGAAGCGCACCAGAGCTAAGAATAGAAATACATATAAGTTTCAACCAACTTCTCATCTGATGTTGTTGAAACTTTACAGGAATGATCATTTGGTAGTCTTTTACAAAAACAGAAATCAAACTGACTGCCAAATTTGATAAAATTCAATAGGAATTATTCTTGGGGGATACTTTATAAAAATTGGGTAAATTATTACATTCTGTTAAAAAACAAAGCTGCCTATGTGCTGAATTGAAACCACATCTACAACTCAAAATTAATGCTTGGCTGATTTTGATGAAACTTTATATGAATGACCTAATAATGAAATCTTGTCTTTGTAAACCATATCCTCAGGAAAGCGATTAAGGGCCATCATGGCTCTCTTGTTTTCTGTTTAAATATAATGATACTTAAAGTTTAATAAATGTAATTTTCAATTTAGTTACAAATTAGTTATTGAAATTATTTTGACTTCATACAGATCAATACCAGAAACTGTAACTTTTTGGAAAAGGAATATTTATTGCATTTATGTTTATATTAAATCTCAATTTGAGGAAGACAGTAATTTTTATATTAATGCATTGTTGTGTCAATGACAACTTGCCTATGCCCTCATTATCAAGTCAAAACAGCCTGTATATCCATGTAATGTTACGAGACTTTATACTGGTGGCTGCATAGGATTCAAATTTTCAACATTGAACCCCTTCCAACTTCCAAATTCATCCCTTTAAAAAACTTTGGACACTTCCAAATTCAAAGCAGGGTAAGAATGACTAATTAATTATACAAATTTATTGTTATAGGTCAAGTAACCAAGTAATTTGGATATGATCTATCACATTTTAAAGAGATACACAAGTGTGGTTAAAACCTATAGTTTTCATCTTTTCATTTATGACATGAACCTAAATAGACATTGTACTACATGTATTATATAAATATTGTAAATTTTTAAGCTCATTTTAACCATCTTTGCATTGTAGAAATTTCCAAGCATGTGGATACAATTCCTTTTAGTCTTGCACATTCCACCTTGCACATTGCAAACTTTTATTGTTCACAGATGGTTATTTATATACACCTCTCTAGTACTTTACATGATTGTACACATTCAATATGGTGTTATTCTTAGTAACACACATAATTGATGATTGCAGCTTGTTGTTGTTGTTTCCCTTGATCCAGATTGTTACGGTTTTATGAAAAATAAAAGTTTGATAAATTATCTTGATATTTTTATCATTACCCTTGAAACTTAAGGTAAAAAATGATTTCAACCAATGGATTAATTTCTTAAATAGGTTTTAAAAATGAAATATAAGAAAGGAATGCTACCATTGGTCAGTTTCAGATCTGTTAATTTGAATCAACCAATCGTGTTTCTCTGTATCTTGTGATTTAATATATTTGCTAGTGTCTTGTTGTGTCACAATCTCACTGTGCAGATGTTGACCTCTTTGACCTTGGTTTGTCTTACATTTGTCAAAATTATGAGTTTGATGTTTTTATCCATATCCCCAGGTATACATATTAACAATATACTTTACTGATATCCCTATGTACTAAAATGTTTCTTACATTTACCTTTGTCTTGTTCTACCAGCCTGATGTTAAGTCCATTAATTAATATTTATGCAATTTTCTTACATTCCATGTAACACTGCCTTAAGTGTATGTGTAAATGATATTTATTAACAACAAAATATCCATGAAAATGAAGTAACATTTTACTTTAAATCACCTTGAAGTAGTGAATGTTAAAGTTATTGTCGCTTATGAATATCAATTATTATTCATTACGAATTTAATAATCATTGTGAATTTAAACTATTATTTGAAATGTCTGAATACAATTAATATTTAGATATTATGGCACATTTTAAGTTTTTTATGGAGGATTACACACATGATATTGAAAAATAATCATAGACCGTATAGAAAGTGTGGAAATACTTAAGCTCAGGCTGCAGTTAAATTCTCGAACCCAGTGGAGCAGACGATGTTAAACTGATGGTCTTTGCCTGTCTGTCGGTGCTGCCTTATGTCTCATCAAAGTTATACTCTGTATATCCATTAAAGAATCTTTCATGAAAATTGTGTCACACTGATTTACCTCAATCCAATGAAGCTCAGATATAGCCAACTCATTGTCATGGTCACACTTTATTGTCAAGTGTTTGTATATATCTATAGTAAAGCTAATTTTGTAATAACAACAAATGAGATAGTATAAATTTTTTATTTTTTATCTCAATAAATATTTTAAAATTATGCCAAACTCAACAAATATTATGTTAAAGGTAGTCCATCAAAACATTCATACTTGTCTTATTTTTACGTCACATGAACACAGTATATGTCATATGGTGACTTTCCAGCTTAACTGGTGTAGAAAGACCTCGGGTGCAGGTCTGTGCATTATTTCAGGCACTAACAGGCACCTGAGTAGAACCACCAATGTTCTGTAAGCTAGCTGGATAGCTTCCTTAAGTCAACGACCTTAACCACTCTGCCACAGACGCACCCATACTTATCTTTATGAATGTGTTGATTACAATACTTTCAACTACACACTTCAAGGAATGTATTATTTTTAAAGACAAAATACAATATTCTAAATATTCTAGTGTGTAAAACTTCAAAATACAGCACCTACCACAAAATTTAAATTATTCATTTCTAATGCTGATTTGAACTGCAATTTAAAAAGCTGTTTTTAGTTTCAAATTCTGTAAAAAAGAAAATAAGTTATTTTAAAACATTTTTGTTTAAAATATATACATAGGCAAGCTGCTTATCTACCAGGCCAGTCTTGGTTGAACAATGACCTTTATCAGTGTATACATATATAACATTTGTAAAAGTTTAAAAACTTCTAAAAATTTAACAAGATCAAAGTTAAAACACCATTCTATCTTAAAATCAGTAAATATCACAATATAACTTCAAGTTTATATAAATTAACAGTAATAAACATAACTGCAGATCAAATATATTTACATTGTTATATCACCATAACATTTACCACTTTCAAAGCAATGACTAATGTTATTAAATATAACATTACAATATTTGTTATGTAGCTATAAAACATGATATGTTCTTGAATTTTCTAAAGTTCATATAAAAAAGTAATTATTTACAAAATATTAATGAGCTTACACCTATATTGAATTGTCAAATTATTTTAAGTGTAAATATTAAATATTTATCAGCTTACATTGTGATGGATTTTTATCAAATCATAAGGAAACAACAGTGTAAGCATGACCCTCAAAATAGTGCCACAAGGTGGTGAGGGAGGTAATGCTTGTTATGTGAAAAGCACCTATAGCCTATTTTCTATGCAAATCTGAGCTCATTAATATTCATATTTCACTATCAACAATGTACCAGTAAGTAAGACATTTCTCTACATCGTATTTAAGGAGTTAACTATGATGTGCGTAGTGAAAGAAAACTTGGGTCATTAAAAATTACATAAAATAATTACAATTATAATCAGGTCAACCTGAACATCATATGAAACATGTCAGACTCACAGTGAATATGCATTTATAAAAATCATTTATTTTACAATTTCCCTTTCAATTATACAATGTTGAAAAACAAAATCAAATCATTGTTAAATTTTAAATTTCAAACAAGCAGTACACTTGCTACATAAAAACAGAGACACAGAGACATAGTTATCTATGTCTATGATAAAAACAAAATTGATAAAAGTAAAATCCCCAGTCCCAACAGCTGATTAAAATTCAGATCTAGATAAATAAATATGGGCAAATTCATAAAAATACATTTTTTCTAGTCCTAATAATCTTAAATTATGTACAAGAACATTACTACGTAGGTAATTAAAGCAGCCTTTATCTTTTATTTTCTACTGGAAAAACAATTCTGTATTGTTTCAAACAAAGTATTTCAGTAATTTTATCTAGGAAAAGTGCACCATATCATTGTAAAGCCTTCTTCAAAACAGCATCCTGAGAGCTATTTATAATGTTAGTCTCATCTGCAAAATGAATGTCTGCTTTACTTATTTATATATAGATACCGGACCAGTGGATTAGAGGTATCGAGGGGTTTCCTTTTTATTTTATTTTCCACCTTACTTCTTTTGATTTGACAATTATATGAAATGATTTATCTAAAAGTAACATATTTAAACTTTAGAAAAGCCAATGGCCACTTTAAGTTTTAAGACTAAAATTTATAGGAAGACGTGTACAAAAACTCAGGGTAATTCATTTACAGTATATGCTGTTGACTGAGCTACACATATCTGTAGAGATCAGCAGAAAAATTACTACTGTCAAGCCGGCATTAAACCATAATGAATTCACCCATAGTGCTAATTATAGTTACCCTAGACATATACATCACAAATAACATTTCAAATGCAAATATTTGTAATATATGTATGTGAATGCATTGTAGAATAAAAATGATGACTGTTAATGTTTCCCCTGTATTAAATCTGTGAACTGGATTGATGGTAAAAGAATGCTCGAAAATAAATGCTTTTGAAAAAATGACTTGCAGTATCAGTTTAAATCAAACTTTTACTTCTAAATATCTTAAGTCTTGATTCACAAAGTCCAAAAACTATTTTTGATTTTTTTTACTTGTAATAAAAAAGAAGAATAAGAAAAGAAAAATTCTTAAAACCTTGAACCTCAAGCATTAAGCACTCGGAGTGTAGAAGAAAATAATAGCAATTCTAAAAAGTTATAGCAAAATATATATCATATGCAAGAAATAGAAAATTAATTTCAAATTAAAACAAATGACTTGTATAATGTTTTTAAGATGAGACGTTATTGCTCCCCAATACTTTTATGAAGTAACTCTTGCAGATTTTTTATTGTATGAGGTTGTACACGTTGGCGGACACCTTGGCGATCTGTCTCCACTTCGGGGCTTGAGCATTCTTGTAGGAGTTTGAAGAGTTCAACCTTGATAGAACCCGGTGGATCTCTGAGTAAACCTGTTGGCATCTTAGGAAAGTACCCCACAAATACATCCTCACAAACTGCCTAAAATGAAGATCAAAATAAAATTATATACATTGTAAATTCAAAATACAGTTAATTTTAAAACATTTATTTTTATACTAGTTATAAGATATACATGTTATTAATTATTTTAAAGCTCAAATGTATCATTTTTCCTCAATAATTATATTTTAAAGCAAATATATATGAAAAATTGATTCTGAACATAAAAACTATAATGAAAAACAATGTTTCAAAATTCAAAAAAGAGAAAACAAATTACAAATTTAAAGATTAAACTTAACAGAAATGAGATGAAACATATGAATACCAAAGTACAACTAAAAAAACAACACCATACTAATTCATACCTGCATATTATTATTTGTCCTTTCTTGTAAACATTTATTAGTTTTAGTGTCACAGAACCCTCTACAATCGAAGAAGTCGCAGTCATCATGGCTTGTACAATTGGTGTGATTAAACTGCATGAGCAGATTCTCCTCAAACAAGGCACAGTCTGTATCTATCAGAGTTACCTCCCCATTGTCCCTTAGACCAAAATTGTCTGGTTTTATATCACAGAGATGCAATTTTTCACTTAAATCATCTAGTTCTTTCATGAGATCTATCAATTTTAAAGCTATTGTTGCTCTTTCCCGCCAAGAATGTGTCCATCCTTTTAATATTTTCAAACTCGTAATGCCCAAAGTTTGAGTGTTTTCAACAAAAAAAGCGGGCCCACGGGTACCAAAATTTTGGAGTAAGAATGTTATATAGGTCAGTGACTCAGGTATTCCCTTTGTTCTGTTAGAACCAGAAACGGAAAAGGGAACTAAAAAGCATTTTTTCTTATCTTTTATTCCAATTTTCATAAAAACCCAAACCCCATGCAATTGAAAAATTTTTTATTTTTCCATATCATTATGTCGAAAAACATGAATGAATTTTTACTAAATTTTTTTTCCCACATACTGCCTTGCCTTTTGATGTATAACTCTAAGGAAATTTTTAATTTTTCTTCTCTCAAGTTCATCTTTCTTTTTCATGACGACTGTACCCCTTTTTTATCAGGCCAAAATCAAATTAAAAAAAGAATTTCTTCCTTTCTTGTTATTTACAAGTTTTAATAAACACTCCAGTTTCACAAAGCATTGCAAAAGACCCTGCAACCTTTTCCTCTTTTTTAATTGCACTAAAATAAAGAACATCATTACATTTATATATATATATATAAAAATAGCTATTTATAATTTATCATTCCAGTGGAAAACACAAATAGGAATTTCTTAATAGATTGTTTCTTACAGTAAAATCAGAAATATAGAGAAAAACACAATTCTGAAAGAAAACACAACACATCAAAATTGAAAATGTTGCACGCTCTGTTTGATTGAGACTGTTCATGGTCAAAGAAATAAAACACTTTCTGTCATGCAAACATCTGAATATTCTATACATACTAGAACCAAAGGCAGGGGCAGTATAACATAGACAAAATATAGTGGCGGCATGACTGAGAGCTAAACCTGTCTGACTAGAGATATAAGGATTTCTGGCTATGTGGGTTTGAACCCAACAAGGGGCAAGCCGTGCAAGAAACTATAAACTTATTGTTCAGTACTGGTTGGTTCCAGGAACCAATTCGAGGGTGTTTTAATAAGCTTATAGCTTCCAACACAATCAAACTAAAACAAATTTGTATAAACTACATTTTGTATATACTTACAATGCCAAATATATGTCTATTTTATTTGCTCCTCTTCTATTTTATGTAAAATTACCAAAAAATTAAAGCTCTAAAATTTAATACTTCAGTAAGAAACTTCTGATTAATCTGAGAATAAATTGCCTTAAAGAAAGTAATAAATCACACACCAAGTCTTCTATGATCTTCTTAGATTCCCCTTCTGTACAGTGCTCTTTCTTGTACATGTGGCGTCCAAATAAGGCAAGGGAGATTACAATGAACACCATTACTCCACAACAAGATAAACAACAACATTTTACCCTGCGTCTCATCCAACGGAATATAGCCATACTATCTCAGCTGAAACTAACAACAACAACAATTTCAGGTTTTATATTTTATGTATGTAAATGTTAACTGCATATCGTGTATTTTAGACATGTGTAAGAGTTATAAAGAAGATAAAGTAATATTACTTATAACAAGAACAGTGACAATTATTATTAAAGATCAATTTACAGCAACTGTGACTTTCCATTCCTTCTTAGAAGCAGAAAATTTAATGTTTTGTTTTAACCAAAATGTTTAAACTCTGGTATTAAACTGCTGATGGTTACTAAGATTCTGCTAGCACTACAAAAATACTATGTCTCTGATTGTATCTAGTCCAATTAGCCCGACAAATTGTGAGCTTTAGGGCTTTTTATCATATAGACAATGGTTGCCCTTTGCAAAGACAGACATCTATGTAATATCAGATTGTCGAATCGGTTGGTCGGTCTTGCAAAAATATTGAGACTACTAGTCCAATATATCAGACGTTACGGGATAAATGTTATAGGTTATGTCGGTCAAGCCCTACCACTTTGCTTTGCCCAGAAGCAAAAATATCTCAAAACAGTGTCAATTTATAGGACAATGATTGTATCATGCAAATACTAGACAAAAAAAACTGTACTGGTTGGGGAGATAACTTCGGCTGGTTGATAAACTCTGCTTTTTATAGTTTAATCGAGTTATCAGCTTTTTAATGTAATCAAGCTCACCATCTCGTACGAACGCTGGAATTCGACAATATCTGGAAATTTTGTCAAGTTTGGTATGATATTTAAAAAATAGCACAGACTTTTACCAGTTTGTTTACAAAACATGCCTGTAAATAGTACGGGAAATCCGATTGCTATACTCATGCGCAGTAGATGCTCATTTTGAGGCCCATACAGGGTTACTTTTTATGAGTCCCGGTCAGGCTGCACATTTTTCTCACCCTATGACATACTTAAAAAAAAAAAAACAAAAAAAAAACGTATTTACGTTAAAATGAATTATATGTTACATGTAAATAGTACGTTGCATATTTAATATCGTGTTATCATAGATACATGTATTCATTATATATACTAACGTAATTCTCAAAAATTCTGATACAAAATATTTTTATTTGACATATATGACTAGCAAAGGAATAATAAAATGTCTAAACATGTTATTCTATGTCGTTCTATGTTGTTTACTCACTAAAAATGATTTCAGAAGAAAAACAAAGAGCCGAAATTATCTACTCGCGCGTGTTAAAAATGTCCTTTTTACGTACCTCTTCCAGGGCCTCTCAAAATTACCCGTTTTGTTACTAAATATAACTTTTATGGTGATACCGGAATATCGAAGAGCTGAAGTTTATTATGGTGCAAGATTCATCAGAATACGTAAACAAATAAATGAAATATGCCCCAAAAACATCGATTTTCGGCCGAGCTTATCTCCCAAACCAGTAAATCGTAGTTTTAGGATACCTGATACTGGCCAGGTAAAAATTGTTGACAGCTGATAATGTTTATCATTGTTCAACTGATCATTGTTGTTTGACAATAGAATAACATATTAGAGTCAAATATTACTAAGATATATGAATAACTGAAAATATCACTATAAGCTACAGTCACGTAGTAATCATTTCTTATAATCAGCCTACTTTCATTTTTAAAATTGACATTGATGATTGATCTTCTCAGGAAAAGAAGCCTATTGTCGTATGCCTACATGAAACTAATACATAGACGTAGGTGGTGACAGCTGCATTTTGAATAATTCTAATGCAAACCAATATTATTACATCTTACATTAAACAACTGATGAAGAAATGATGTTGCATACTTACTTCCTGGTTGTTGACAGAATTATTTCCCCTGCATGTATATATTGCACTTCGTACGATTCACACTTCGGCAGCAGACCACTAAATACTAAACCAAGTGCAGCTATTATATCTGTCAACCTATTGACACTTCTCTAATGACTGATTTGCAGATATATGGTTTAACCTTAATCTTGTTTGAAACGAAATTTATTAGTCTTTGCCACCATTTTTAACTGGGCAAGTCTGCACATTTTGCTATTTCTTCCATCTGACACAATCAATGCATGCCACTGCATAATCTATCTACATCTGCTTGTATACCCCATACAATAACAACAGGAATGACTGGGACAGTATTTTAAAAGTTAGTAATTAGCGGACCTGTAATTAGCTACGTTATGAAGTGGTTACAAGATAAAACTTTAAAAACAATTATGACAATGATTAAGGACTGAATTTTAGGCCTTCCAAGCTTGCACTTACAATATAACATTGATGTAAGTTAAGGTACATCATTCCAAAGTTTAAGTGTGCTTGAAATTAGTAAATGTGATACTGAGTTCTGCTTCGGGGTGTAATAAAGTTATAAAGTAAAGTAATAAATTTTTCTTGATTGTAAATGGTGCATGTAGTCAAAAGCTACACTTAGTTGTTGTGGATTTTAAAATCATCAAGAGTCCACGAAGGCTTTCATTTAAATTTTATAAGGGTTTTACTTTAAGTATGAATGTAACACTACTGTGATAGGAATAACAATTCATTACATATCCTTTAGTTTCTATATGACTTAAGTGCCTCTTGCCTAGGGTGCCAGACTGTGTAGGAATACTCAAGCTGAGGTCTAACGCAGTCTCTAAAATGTTTTATCCTTTTAGTAAATCATGGGGAGTTCGTGGACTTAGATTATACATTTTGTGTTTATTTTTTGGCTAAGGTCTTGACCTATTATATGACCTTAGTACTGATTATTACCAGTTTGTTTGAGTACAATAAGCTACAGAATCTGTAATTTTATGTCTAAATTTGCCTTTTACTAAAGGAATAAGGCCGTTTTTTTCCTTTCATATTTTTAAATGATTACTGATAAAGGAATTCTTTTTCCTTTCTATTTTTCAGAACCTAAGACTAGGTCAAACATTTTTATTTGCATATCTGTCAATATTGATACCATATACAAGTAGAACAAAATTTTTATATCTGGAGGTACATTGCTAAATAATAAAATTAATAACAACACTTCTTAAAGTCGTCATTTTTACTTCAAACCAAAATTAAACATTAATAACAAAAATAAAAATACATTCATAAATTATTAAGAGAAAAAGTAGTATGAATTCAATGACCAATTAATGGGAATGAAAAATGGAAAACTATACATGTATATACAACCTACATACATAGTAAGATGTCTGACAAGGTGAACACATCATTCTATACATTCTATCCTTTAAAAATCTCAACAGAAAAATCTCAACAACTTCAAATAAAAGAAGACTCATGATTGCATCAAGTCCTTCTTCAGAATAAACATTACACTTGAGAACTGGCCAATATACAAATTTCAATTTGAGAAAAATACTAACTTCTAGTATTGTCAGCTCGGTCATGTAAAAAAAGCTTAGTGGTGTCGCTTTAATAATAAAAATTTGCCATTTTATAATCTTTCACTAAAATTATCCCATTGCATTATTTTTCCATGAACACATTAACTTAAACAGCACTATACAAAAGTTGCCAACATCATTTACATGATTTATGTGAGCTGCAACATTTGTTAAAAAAAATCACTTAAATTCTTAATATTTCACACAATAATTAATTGATCCATATAACAATTGATAACAAAATGTATAAACAGTTTATCTATTTTCATCACATATGGCCATTCAAAATGATATAATTTTATTGAGACTCTTTGGTTCTTTTGAGCTACACTGTCAGAAGGATTTCATTGAAAAAAATAATGAAAATGCAAATAAATGATGCAACTATCACCATTTACATGTAAAAGAAAAATATCAGCACTTGCGAAAAAATATACATTAATTTTGATTGCCATAAAATGCATGATATTTTATAAATAAAAAAAGTTTAGGAAATTTTGTTACAAAATGACATATAAGGACGATCACCCTAGATGTGTCACCTGAGATCCATTGCTAGGAAAGATCACAATTATTAAATGAAGAAGTAGGCCATTGGGTTATATTGGGATCAGGCCTGTTTTGATTTATTAACCTTCTGCAGAGGTCCAGTAAGCAATGTTACATGCAAATATCTAAGGTCTAGGCTAGGAAGTTTCAAAATTGGAAGATATTTATAAATGTATTTTCCTAGGTAAGTCTATGACAAAAGTAAGGCAGGGCCAATTTTTACCAAAGGAGCTTGACTTATACAACTTATTTAAAAAGAGTACTATGCAATACTACATGCAAAACGTCTATGCTCTGGGAAATGTACATATAGTTTTTAACAAAGGTTTTCCTATATAAATGTATAGAAAGACAATAAAGATGATAGAAGACAGACATCATTCTATCATAAAAGCTCAGCTTCCAGCACTTAAAGCTCAGCTCTGAGACAAAATAAATTGGAATTGATTTTCAGCTGCCAAAAGACAATAAAATCTCCAAACCTATTTTGCCAATAGATTTTTGGAGAAAGATTATAACATCATAATAATGCATACTCAATAGTCAAACAATAATCCTGCTCTAGTTCATGATCATAATAAATGATATGAGCCATGTCATGACAAAACCAACATAATGGGTTTGCGACCAGCATGGATCCAGACCAGCCTGCGCATCCGCGCAGTCTGATCAGGATCCACGCTGTTTTCGCTAACAAGTACAAGTACAGAAACTGATAGCGAACAGCGTGGATCCTGATCAGACTGTGCGGATGCGCAGGCTGGTCTGGATCCATGCTGGTCGCAAACCGATTATGTTGGTTTTGTCGTGACACGGCTCAATTATAATTTTGTCTGTTTTATGGCAAAACAATTTGAATCTCTATTTCCCAGTATTTCATTGGCAATATTTTGCTATGGCATATTCCCCTATGGCAGTAGTTCCCTTACACCAGATAAGTGTAAATTTACACAAAATATTTCAATACTTACATCAGATTAAGTGTAAATTTACACAAAATATTTCAGTGCTTACACCAGATAAAGTGTAAATTTACCAAAATATTTCAATGCTTACACAAGATAAAGTGTAAATTTACACAAAATATTTCAATGGTTACACCAGTACACCAGATAAGTGTAAATTTACACAAAATATTTCAGTGCTTACATCAGACAAAGTGTAAATTTACACAAAATATTTAATGCTTACACCAGATAAAATGCAAATTTACTTGCAATATTTCAGTGCCTACACCATTAAAATTCAAATTTACTTGAAATATTTCAGTGCCTACACCAGATAAAGTGCAAATTTACACAAAATATTTCAGTGCTTACACCAGATAAAGTGCAAATTTACACAAAATATTTTAATGCTTACACCAGATAAAGTGCAAATGTACATGAAACATTTCAATGCTTACACCAGATAAAGTGCAAATTTACATGAAATATTTCAATCATGTTGTTAAATTTAAATCATACATTCAAATGTTTAATCAGCAATGGTTAAATCTTGACGATGTTAAAAATTGAACAAGAGGGCCATGATGGCCCTGAGGTCGCTCACCTGTATAAAGGCACCCGGAGCGGGGCCAGTTTAAACCCCAGGGCTTTTATTTGAACAAACTTAGAAGCACCGATTAGAAGATGTTTCACGATGTTAAGTTTTTACTACACACATATAATGAAAAACAACGATCTATCCCCCCTCCTTCTGCCCCCCCCCCCCCCCCCCCGGCAGGGCCAATTTTAACCCAAGGGCTTTTATTTGAACAAACTTGGTAGACACCCATAAGAAGATGTTTCATGCTAAACATCTAAGCTCTAGCTCATTGGGTTTTTTTAAAAGAAGATTTTTTAAGTTTATAATTAAACCAATGACACCTCTGGAGTGGGGCCAATTTTGACCCCAGGGCTTTGTTTTTGAACAAACTTTGTAGACAATTACTAGAAAGATGTTTCTTGCTTAATATCTAAACTCTAGCTATTTGGGTTTTTTCAAAGAAGATTTTTAAGTTTTTGCTATACAAATATAAGGAAAATCAATAACACCCGGGGCGGGCCAATTTTGACTCCAGGGCTTTTATTTGAACAAACTTTGTAGACACTCACTAGAAGATGTTTCATGCTTAATATCTAAACTCCAGCTATTTGGGTTTTTTCAAAGAAGATTTTTTAAGTTTTTGCTATATACATATAAGGAAAATCAATGACCCCCGGGGCGGGGCCAATTTTGACCCCAGGGCTTTTATTTGAACAAACTTGGTAAACACCAATTAGAACATGTTTCATGCTAAATATCTTAGCTCTAGCTCTTTGAGTTCTTTAAAAGAAGATTTTTTAAGTTTTTACTATATGCATATAAGGAAAATCAATGACCCCCTGGGGCAGGGCCAATTTTGACCCAAGGGCTTTATTTGAACAAACGTGGTAGACACTCATTAGAAGATGTTTCGTGCTAAATATCTTAGCTCTAGCTCTTTGGGTTTTTTCAAAGAAGATTTTTAAGTTTTTGCTATACAAATATAAGGAAAATCAATAACACCCGGGGCGGGCCAATTTTGGCTCTAGGGCTTTTATTTGAACAAACTTTGTAGACACTCACTAGAAGATGTTTCATGCTTAATATCTAAACTCTAGCTATTTGGGTTTTTTCAAAAAAGATTTTTTAAGATTTTGCTATACACATATAAGGAAAATCAATGACCCCCGGGGCGGGGCCAATTTTGACCCCAGGGCTTTTATTTGTACAAACTTGGTAGACACCCATTAGAACAATTTCATGCTAAAGATCTTAGCTCAAGCTCTTTGAGCTCTTTAAAAGAAGATTTTTTAAGTTTTTACTATATGCATATAGGGAAAATCAATGACCCCCTGGGGCGGGGCCAATTTTGACCCCAGGGCTTTTATTTGAACAAACTTGGTAGACACCCATTAGAACACGTTTCATGCTAAAGATCTTAGCTCAAGCTCTTTGAGCTCTTTAAAAGAAGATTTTTTAAGTTTTTACTATATGCATATAGGGAAAATCAATGACCCCCTGGGGCGGGGCCAATTTTGACCCCAGGGCTTTTATTTGAACAAACTTGGTAGACACTCATTAGAAGATGTTTCATGCTAAATATCTTAGCTCTAGCTCTTTGGGTTCTTTAAAAGAAGATATTTTAAGTTTTTACTATATGCATATAGGGAAAATCAAAGACCCCCTGGGGCGGGGCCAATTTTGAACCCAGGGATTTTATTTGAACAAACTTGGTAGACACTCATTAGAAGATGTTTCATTACAAATATCTAAGCTCTAGCTCTTAGGGTTTTTTTAAAAGAAGATATTTAAAGTTTTTTCTTTTGGTTGCCATGGCAGCCAGAGTTCTGCATGGAATTAAATTTTTTGAACAATTTTTAAAGGTGACCGCCAAAGGAACATTCCTGTGAAGTTTGGATGAAATTGGCTTAGTGGTTTATGAGGAGATGTCATTTAAAGTAAAAGTTTACGGACGGACGACGGACGGACGGACCCCGGACGAAAAAGCGATCACAAAAGCTCACCCTGTCACTTTGTGACAGGTGAGCTAAAAATATCATCTATTCAGATCTCTGGTTTCAGTCTCAGTTTCTACAAATGTAAGTTACTATGTCAGACACTGGTACCAGCAAGGAAACTATTATCACTAAGTTCAACAAGTAGTTTAGCTATAGTACTGTCCTTCTCGGCTATCATTTTATCTTTCTCCACCAGCTGCTTCCTGAGACGATCAATTTCTATTCTCATATCATCAATCACTTGCTCCTTTGTCAAGAAAAGTTCGCCACTTAGCATGGATTTGGTAGATGGTCGGACTTCTGGATTTTCACTGGTCATGAGTTCTATATATCTGGTCTGTACAGGCCAGTTTTGGAACACTTCATCTGGAATTATACCTTTCCTTAAGTCACTTAAACTCCTATACCTCTCCATCTCTGTCCCATAGCTTTGAAATAATTCAAACAATATTACCCCTAAACTATAAATATCACATTTTGTATTATAACCAGAACCTTTGAGCTGTTCCGGTGCAGCGTATGTAGATGTGCCAACCCCAGTTGTATGATCAGATAGAATACTTCCGGTGCGGACAAGTCGAGATGTCGCTAAATTGAGAGTACTGAAAGAAGTGTCATTGACTGGACTAGTTACAACATCATCAGTTGCTAAACCAAAGTCTCCAACTTTCACATGAAGTCCTTCTTCTTGCAAGAATATATTTCTAGGTTTTAAGTCCCTATGGATAACACCTTGTGAGTGTATATATTCCACAGCTTTCAGAATTTGTCTAAATATTATCATGTTCCTGTCAGTATAAGGGATAAGGTCTTTCTCACTGTGACACGTCTCATTTCTATTTTGCATCCATTCTTTCAATGTTAGGCTGCAAAGCTCCATTTGGATGTATAATGTCACTGTTTTCTGAAAATATAACAAACATTATTCAAGTTTTGCAAAATGTCAAATCTGTTAATAACTAAATCTAATGTATGACCAACGATTTCAAATCATTTGAAATTTCAATCTTATTAAAATCATATCATCAATGACACTCTGTTACTCTTCACTACCAAAGGTAATGGAGCAACAGTTAAGTAATGTTTTAATAAAATTGGTGAAATTTGATAATGAGTTGAAAATACATGTAAATAGAGTGCTTTGAATAAAGTGAATTTTTAAAGAAAAAGATATATATTTCAAGTGTGATGTAGCATTATAATAACAATAAGGCTTAAGGTAATAACTAAATCATCTGAACAATAAATCGTGCATTACTGTACTGCAATACAAGAAAAATTGATATCTTTTTTCATTCCAATATTAAGCAGTGAAATAACTCCATGATGCTATTTTGCTTATTGACATCACAGCTGAAGTCAAATGACATATAAACATTCCTTTCCTTGCATTATTGTGTAATTAAGCACTCTAATACTTAGCTTCTTGAATAATGAAATAGAGTGAAACCTGTTACTAACTCATGGATGCAAACCATTTTTGGGGAGGTTGAATTTTACGTCACACCAACACAGTATAATTCATATGGCTACTTTCCAGCTTTACAGGTGCATGAAGACCTCAGGTGCCCTTCTTTGCATTATTTCAGGCCATGAAGGGACACCTGAGTAGAACCACCAATGTTCCAAAAAATAAATAATTACACCAGTTGGAACAAAAACGATTAACAATCGAAACTAAACTTATATTTTCATTTAAAGGGAGACACAGGCAAAATTTTCATTTCTTAGTTTTGATTTTTTCATTCATTATTCTGTAAATGCACTCAAAATGAATATATTAGACAGCCAAAGGAACAAAACTTTTCTCTATATAAAGAATAAAATGGTGGTTTCCTAACTTGACCCGCGTGGGTCAGGTTAGAGCGCTAGAATTTCACAATAGTTGTCAAAGTGAACATGTCAAATGAATGACTAAGACTTGTTTCAATCATACAATATCCACAATATCTGATATTGTACCTTCAAGGGTTTGTTTAAGTCACGTGACTTGTTTTTAAACTGTTTGGTGATTCTATTTGGGTCTAAATTTTGTTCAACCTTATAGATATATTTACGCCTAAAACCAAAAAAATATAGAATTTAAATAGCAATTTATGCTGAAACTTCAGGAAATGTCATTTTAGCATGATTTGAGTACATAATATCATTTTAATATTTTTGTCATTATTTTGCCTGAATATCCCTTTAAACTATCTGGTCAAGAAATACAATAAAATCAAGTAGGTATTCTGTCTGAATGGGATCTTTATTTTCCACTCACAGTTACCCTTCTTGTATTTCCTTAATACTCTGGGAAATACATGTTCATGTATTTCCTTGTAACATTGAGAATTTTTGTGTACATTCATGTATATTTGTTATCTATACTGTATTACCTGCAGTGGAAATTCGGTCTCTACAAACTGGAACAGATTACTGCTGTTTTCTAATGGCAGGAGCAATTCACCAGAGGCCACAGGATCACAGCTAATACTTCTTTTATAAACCCTCTGTGACTTTCTCCCATCTCCACGATTGTACATGCTGCCATCTATCTCATCTTGTTGCCTACCAGATTCTACAGTACTAGTGTCCAGAGTAAACTTTACCTTGGTCTGCGTTGTTTTCACATTTCCAAACTTTCCAGGTAACAATGACAAAGCACGAGATTCTACCGTAGCTGTTTCCTTCTTATAGGATGAAGTGTCAAGCTTGAAGTTGTTCCCAAAAAATGTATTATTTCCTTGGTATTCTAACATATCATTCAAACTTTTATTTTTATGAAATGTAGATGATTTTGGAGGAGAAGGGGGCATGTTCTGTGGGGAAGATGCCAGACTCGAGTTATTGGAAGCTATTTCCTTTATCTTTGGTCCGGAGCCGAACCTGTAGTCGTGGAAAGGCTGGAGAAAGTCTCGAGAGTAATCTCCGTCACAAGAATCTCTGAATATAACACCAGTATCATTCTCTGAGTCGGAATGATTGTCAGAGTCAGCTGATATATCGTGTAAACTTGAACCAGCTGTAATACAGAATTTATTTTTTTTCATATAAAAGTACACATGAAAATCTAGATAGGTTCACCATCATGTTACTGATTGGCAATGCTTAACATAAATTTTACACATTTTTTTACAAAATTATAAACTACACTGTATAAGAAAAGATGTAAACATGTTTAAATATATCAAACACTATAAATGAGATTTTTTCTTGTATACTCTCACTCTATGTTGAAAAATGCTAAGTTGAAGTAAATTATTTTTCTTATCAATCAAAATAGATATTACATCAATCTCAAGATTTATTTTTACATTTTACATTTAGCTTTTATGAATGCGAGAATTTAAAACAAAAAACTTATAGTCAGTTGTTTACCTTATATATGAGATGAGTTTATCAAGTTCAAGTATTTATAAAGTGATAAATAAATAGGAATCATAGCTTACAGGATGGTTTTGGTAAAGGAGCTGTCCCATATTCTAACCAGGCAGCATTATATCCTACGATGTTAGTGTGTTGTAAACTTGCCAATGCTTTCACTTCTCGCAGTACCTATATTGTAATTTAACAATAGACATTTGTATTCTCCTTTCTAAACATTTGTATTTGGGGACCTTTCTGTTGAAAATGTGTCAAAGCTAAATCGTATACACATGCATGGACAGTGCGTTAACTGGAGTGCAGGTATTAGTTACTCGCATTCAAGAACATGCTCATTGATTAGCTTATTTTTTTCTTAAGTTTGCTCAATGTGACAACATAGAAAGGGATAGCGATAGAAATGCCATATTCGGATGCTCGTTCTTTAGGTACTTTTTCTGGGGTTTTATATTGTGATAACAGGGAATGTGTTTTTGTTTTTTTCTATGATACAAAAGAGAAAGAACATCAAAAGACTCGGCAATCTGGTACATACTCAGGGGCTACGCCACCTTGTACAAATCAGATAGTCTTGCGTTTTGATTCTCTTTCTATTACTTATACTGCCAGAAGTTACCAAAAGTTATAAAATTAAATTTAGAAATAAACATAAATCTTTTGACATTGATTCTGTCACAATTAAACCAATTAGATAACTATCCCTTGAGAATGATCTTCAATATTAGAATATCAATTCATGTAGTAATAATATGTTGTTATTTTAAGTATATTCCTGCCAAAAGAACTATGTTTGGTAATTGATGGTATCAATGGATTTCAGAGTAAATTAATATATTAAACACTTCTGACAAAATTGCAGACCCATGAATGTACATGTATGTCCATGTAGTGTAGTCATGCTAAATTATTATGCATCAAAATGTCTAGAAAAATCACAGAGATATAACACTGTTAAATTTCTTTCCTTAGTTATACAAGTTTGTGTTATGGACATATATTAGGGAAAACAGCAATTTATTTATAAGTAAATGATAGCTGACTTACCCTGAACCAGACTTCAGGTTTTGAGTGTTTAAACTTCACCTTCTTTACAGCATACATCTTCCCATCCAGTTTATTTCTACTCTGTTATAATATATCACAATAGCTTAAATGGATGATTTTACAATTACAAAAATAAAGCAGATTCACATGTTAATTGTTCAGTTATTTTAAAACTTGTGTCAGTTTTTAGTATGGAAGACAGCTAAAAGTTATGACTATTTTGAATGACTATATAGTGTAAAATAGTACAACAAAAATTTAACTGGGAGTTTACATTTTGCAACATTTTTGACAAAGCAAACTTTTTATACTTAAGTAAATCAATACAATACTATTTTATTCCTCTATTTACTTGTACAATAACACAAAATTGATTATACTCAAACATTTTTACACATACACTGATTTAAGTTAATGCAAGAACAATAATTTAAAGTTGATATTAACAGATCAAGACTGGTTTAAATATTGATATATTAATGATTAAACACTGATTTAGACATTAACAGAGAGATAAACACTGATTTAGACATTAACAGAGAGATAAACACCTTATAAACAGCTCCAAATCCTCCTTTACCAATCTTCTCCACCTCTACAAACTCTGTACAATATCTGGATGTCTGGTTAATGAGATCACAACTACTGCTGGATGGATGCCGGGGTATACTAAAATACAAAATCAAGATTGAGAATATCTTTTGTGATAAATAATTTAAATTTTCACAGTCAATTAGTTTCATTTAAGACCTTCCATGACCTAATGTCATGTACTAATCATATGGGATATATTTACTTAAAGCTGATTCAGTTATGGCCCTTTCCTTTTGTAAAGCCTTTTGTAACTCCCTTGTAAATATCGACTGCTCAAAATTTTGTCATTGAATTTAGACCGATTCATGAGTTGAAGTCCCGATGTGTCGAAGTTTCTACGCAAGTCCCTTCAACTTCAACTTTCAAGATATTCAGCAAATAAATACAAATAAGTTTAAGCAACCTTAACTTTGTCAAAATAAAAATATTTACAAAGGAATTTAAAATTTAACAATTAAGATGAAAATAATTTATAATACTCTAAAGAATTTTAAAAGAGTACAATATGAGTAAATAAGAAGAGTGCTGTATCTTCTAAAATATACAATAGTAACTTACTTGTTTTGTAAAGCTGGAAGGTTTGTGTCACTGAAGCCATTTGGAGCAGGTAATAACAGTTTTCCTGTGAGACCCTGAAATTTAATGTCAGACTTACTGGGCAAACATATAACATTAGGTTACTGGTGCTTTTATTTTTTCATTTAAATACATATACACTATATTATATATAGATAATGTCAACAAGAAAATTAATCTTGTCATTTTTGTGTTTTTCCCTCAGATGTTAAAATTATTGCCATCATAACACAGGAAGTGCCTATATCTTGACTTCATGTAGTATAAAAAGTTACACATGTTGTCACCTTAGTGCAGTTACAAGTAACTCATAATAAATTTAAAAGGAGAGTACATGGAATAACAGGGTTAACTTTCATTAAATTTAAAAGGAGAGTAACAGGTTAACTTTCATTAAATTTAATAGGAGAGTAACCCGTTACTGTACTGAGGTGACAATATGTATGTCAAAACCATATGAACAATGTGAACTATTTAATTCTCCATCTTAGATTAACATACTGTATTTGGAAGTATATTGTTCATGTTGCTTTGGCAATGTTCTCCAATTTAAATAATTAATTCAGAAACCATCATGTGAACACTATTTCAGGATCATATTGTATTACCTTCTCAGATTTGTAAACATTGATTTTCCTATAAACATTGTTTCAGTTCTATTTTATCTTACTATAGAGCTGCAATAAGCAGAATGTGAACAGTTTCAGAACTGCATTATCTTATCCTATAATAATTGTAAACAGCAGCCAGTTTCAATCTGTGACTGCCTGTATCATTTTAGTTTAAACATAACTTATTTCAGGTCAGCTATGAAGAAATTGTGTAGACTATTTAAACTTCTCTAGATTCTGCTTCCTAAAAATAACCAGTACTGATGTCACAAAGTTGTGACTGCAGTTGGGCCTAAACCCATCATCCATTGGTTGAGTGACAGACATTTTAACCACCAGGCCACAGCTCCTCTTACTTATATGTAACCATACCTTGTTAGATTTGTGTACAGCAGCCAGCAACATCCTATGTACACTATGTCTATACTGCTCTCTTAGACTACTCATTTCATCTAACATCAATAATGGTGATACAACATTCAACTTGGTCAACTGTTCACTGATTGCTGAAATTATAGTAATTGACTCTATCATACTAGATATTATCACATCAACAATATTTCTACTTTGCTAATAAAAGGTGTTTTACAACTTAAACACCTTTTTTCAGATACAACATGAAAAGTAGCACAAGTAACCCTTAGTAAAACATGAACTCCACTGAGGCCAAAATGCATAAACACATAAAATTTGAAATTCTTGCATAGATCAAGTGATGAACTTAAAATGTAAAAATCTGTAAAAGATAACAAGAAATGTCGAACGACACATATTCCCCCCTTTCTAGCCCTTGACTCAGATTATTAGATACTTTGTGATGAATACTTTTCAAGATAATTAGCGGAAATCATTCTGACATTTAAGGCCCTTGTGAACTTGACCTTTGACCTAGTGACCCTAAAATCAATAGGGGTCATCTACTAGTTATGACCAATTAATATGTGAAATATGAAGACTTTGTGAGAAATAGTCACCAAGATAATAAGTGGAAATCATATTATCATTCAAGGACACTGTGACCTTGACCTTTTACCTAGTGAACCCAAAATCAATAGGGGTCATCTACTATCTATAACCAATTAATATGTGAAACATGACGACTTTGTGATGAATACAAAAAATGTACTTTTCAATATAATTAGCGGAAACCATTCTGAGATTTAAGGCCCTTGGGAACTTGACCTTTGACCTAGTGACCCTAAAATCAATGGGGGTCATCTACTAGTTATGACCAATTAATATATAAAATAACAAGAACGTGTTTGTTAAACACAAATGCCCCCGGCTCAGATTCTTGTCAGTAGCAATATTTCAAAAAATGTTTACCCATTCACTCAGTTATGGACAGAAAAATTGCAAAAAAAATTGTAAACACAAGTTATATAGCTTGACAAAGTCATGGCATTTTGTAATTGTGAAAAATATAAGTTGCCAAGTCATTGCTCTGACTTGTGAAGTTGAAAAATATTCAACTTCATGCAAGTTATCTTCCTACCAAATATGAAATACATCTGTCCTTAAATAAAGGCTGTATGGGCAAAAGTGTAAAAATCTATTTTGAGCACGGGTGACCTTGACCAAACTGACCCCTAACACTATTCCATGTAAGTTATCTTCCTACCAAATATGAAATACATCTGTCAATAAATAAAGGCTGTATGGGCAAAAGTGTAAAAATCTATTTTTAGCACTGTTGACCTTGACCCAACTGACCCCTTACTCCATCCAAAGGAAGAATACCATGCAAGCTATCTTCCTACCAAATATGAAATACATCTGTCAATAAATAAAAGCTGTATGGGCAAAAGTGTAAAAATCTATTTTTAGCACAAGTGACCTTGACCCACTGATCCCTACCCCAATCAAAAGGATGAATACCATGCAAGTTATCTTCCTACCAAATATGAAATATATCTGTCACTTAATAATTAAGGCTGTATGAGCAAATGTGTAAAAATCTATTTTTAGCAATGGTAACCTTGACCCAACTGACCGCTAACTCCATCAAAGTTTATATTTCTAAGAATTATAAATAACATCTGTCTATAGAATAAGGTCGGTCAATAGTGAATACACCTGTAAAAATGTAAAAATCTATTTTTAACATTGGTGACCTTGACATTGGTAACATTGACCTTGACCCAAATGACCCCTTACTACACCCAAAGAAGGAGGACCTCCCTTGGCATGTTTGCATTAAACTAAGACAACAAGAGGGCCATGATGGCCCTGAGGTCGCTCACCTGTATATAGCCCCCACCCGGGCCAATTTTTACCCCAAGGGCTTTTATTTGTTTATTTGAACAGACTTGGTAGACACCCATAAAAAGATATTTCATGCTAAACATCTAAGTTCTAGCTCATTGGGTTTTTTAAAAGAAGATTTTTTTAGTTTTTACTATACACATATAGTTAAAAACAATGACACCCCTGTGGCAGGGCCAGTTTTGACCCCCGGGCTTTTATTTGAACAAACTTTGTAGATATTTACTTAAATATGTTTCATGCTTAATATCTAAACTCTAGCTATTTGGGTTTTTTCAAAGAAGATTTTTAAGTTTTTGCTATACACATATAAGGAAAATCAATGACCCCCTGGGGCGGGGCCAGTTTTGACCCCAGGGCTTTTATTTCAACATACTTGGTAGACACCCATTAGAAGATGTTTCATGCTAAATATCTTAGCTCTAGCTCTTTGGGTTCTTTAAAAGAAGATTTCTTAAGTTTTTACTATATGCATATAGGGAAAATCAATGACCCCCTGGGGCGGGGCCAATTTTGACCCCAGGGCTTTTATTTGAACAAATTTGGTAGACATGCACTAGAAGATGTTTCATGCCAAATATCTAAGCTCTAGCTCTTTGGGTTCTTTAAAAGAAGATTTTTTAAGTTTTTACTATATGCATATAGGGAAAATCAATGACCCCCTGGGGCGGGGCCAATTTCGACCCCAGGGCTTTTATTCGAACAAACTTGGTAGACACTCACTAGAAGATGTTTCATGCCAAATATCTTAGCTCTAGCTCTTTGGGTTCTTTAAAAGAAGATTTTTTAAGTTTTTACTATATGCATATAAGGAAAATCAATGACCCCCTGGGGCGGGGCCAATTTTGACCCCAGGGCTTTTAATTGAACAAACTTGGTAGACACTCATTAGAAGATGATTCATGCCAAATATCTTAGCTCTAGCTCTTAGGGTTGTTTAAAAGAAGATATTTAAAGATTTTTCTTTCGGCTGCCATGGCAACCAGAGTTCTGCATGGAATTAAATTCTTTGAACAATTTTTAAAGGTGACCACCAAAGGAACATTCCTGTCAAGTTTGGATAAAATTGGCTCAGTGGTTTATGAGGAGATGTCATTTAAAGCAAAAGTTTACGGACAGACGACGGACGGACGGACGCCGGACGAAAAGCGATCACAAAAGCTCACCCTGTCACTTTGTGACAGGTGAGCTAAAAATAAAGGCTGTATGAGCAAAAATGTTTATATTTATTTTTTAAACCAGTGACCTTGACCTTGACCCTAGAGACCGCTTACTCCACAAACAAGAGGGCCATGATGGCCCTGAGGTCGCTCACCTGTATATAGGCCCCCCCCCACCCCCTGGCCAATATTTACCCAAGGGCTTTTATTTGTTTATTTGAACAGACTTGGTAGACACCCATAAGAAGATGTTTCATACTAAACATCTAAGTTCTAGCTCATTGGGTTTTTTAAAAGAAGATTTTTAAAGTTTTTACTATACACATATAGTTAAAAACAATGACACCCCTGGGGCAGGGCCAGTTTTGAACCCCGGGCTTTTATTTGAACAAACTTTGTAGATATTTACTTAAAGATGTTTCGTGCTTAATATCTAAACTCTAGCTATTTGGGTTTTTTCAAAGAAGATTTTTAAGTTTTTGCTATACATATATAAGGAAAATCAATGACCCCCCCGGGTGGGGCCAGTTTTGACCCCAGGGCTTTTATTTGAACATACTTGGTAGACACCCATTAGAACATGTTTCATGCTAAATATCTTAGCTCAAGCTCTTTGAGTTCTTTAAAAGAAGATTTTTTAAGTTTTTACTATATGCATATACTATATATGCATATAGGGAAAATCAATGACCCCCTGGGGCGGGGCCAATTTTGACCCCAGGGCTTTTATTTGAACAAACTTGGTAGACACTCATTAGCAGATGTTTCATGCTAAATATCTTAGCTCTAGCTCTTTGGGTTCTTTAAAAGAAGATTTTTTAAGTTTTTACTATATGCATATAGGGAAAATCAATGACCCCCTGGGGCGGGGCCAATTTTGACCCCAGGGCTTTTATTTGAACAAACTTGGTAGACATTCACTAGAAGATGTTTCATGCCAAATATCTAAGCTCTAGCTCTTACGGTTCTTTAAAAGATGATTTTTTAAGTTTTTTACTATATGCATATAGGGAAAATCAATGACCCCCGGGGCGGGGCCAATTTTGACCCCAGGGCTTTTATTTGAACAAACTTGGTAAACACTCACTAGAAGATGTTTCATGCCAAATATCTTAGCTCTAGCTCTTTGGGTTCTTTAAAAGAAGATATTTTAAGTTTTTACTATATGCATATAGGGAAAATCAATGACCCCCTGGGGCGGGACCAATTTTGACCCCAGGGCTTTTATTTGAACAAACTTGGTAGACACTCACTAGAAGATGTTTCATGCCAAATATCTAAGCTCTAGCTCTTAGGGTTGTTTAAAAGAAGATATTTAAAGATTTTTCTTTCGGTTGCCATGGCAACCAGAGTTCTGCATGGAATTAAATTCTTTGAACAATTTTTAAAGGTGACCACCAAAGGAACATTCCTGTGAAGTTTGGATGAAATTGGCTCAGTGGTTTATGAGGAGATGTCATTTAAAGCAAAAGTTTACGGACGGACGACGGACGGACGGACGCCGGACGAAAAGCGATCACAAAAGCTCACCCTGTCACTTTGTGACAGGTGAGCTAAAAATTAGAGGACCATCAAAGGTATTCACCTACTAAATATGAAAGATATCATTAAAGAAAATAAGCAATTAGGAGAAATTTAAGATAAATCCAACTTGCCGAAATAGGTTAACCAGACAAGGCCCTATTTTCGAAGTGAAAAAAGGGAAATAACTGGGAAATATGGATGACACAGTTATATAACTTGGCAATATCATGTACTTTGTATTAATAAGTCAGTGTGGAAATAATAAAGCCATTAGTATAGATAGAACTTAAGATATTTCCAACTTGCCGTTTTAGGTTAACCATTATTCATTTTCTAAGTGCTGAAAAGGGCAATAACATGGTAAATATGAAAGCCAGAGTTATGTTACTTGCCCAGATCATGTACTTTGTATTGATTAGTAAGTGTGTAAACTTAGAAGCCATTGGTACAGGTAGAACTTAAGAAAAATCCAACTTGCTGTTCTAGGTTAACCTCACACGGACAGATGGACAGACAGACGGACGGACGAATGGTTCAATTACTATATGCCCAGGGGCATAAAAAAACTTTGTGATAAATAGTAACCAAGATAATAAGCGGAAATCATATTATCATTCAAGGCCCCTGTGACCTTGACCTTTGACCTTGTGAACCCAAAATCAATAGGGGTCATCTACTATCTATGACCAATCAATATGTGAAACATGTAGACTTTGTGATGAATACTTTTCAAGATAATTAGCGGAAACCATTCTAACATTTAAGGCCCTTGTGACCTTGACCTTTGACCTAGTGACCCTAAAATCAATAGGGATCATCTACTAGTTATGACCAATCAATATGTGAAATATGAAGACTTTGTGATAAATAGTAACCGAGACATAATAAGCAGAAATCATATTACCATTCAAGGCCCCTGTGACCTTGACCTTTGACCTAGTGACACCAAAATCAATAGGGGTCATTCACTAGTTCTACCCAATCAATATGTGAAATATGAAGACTTTGTAATAAACACTTTTCAAGAAAATCAAAGGAAACCATTCTGACATTTAATGCCCCTGTGACCTTGACCTTTGACCTAGTGACCCAAAATCAATAGGGCTCATCTACTAGTTATGACCTATCACTATGTGAAATATGACAACTTTGTGATAAATACTTTTCAAGATAATCAGTGGAAACCATTCTGACATTTAAGGCCCTTGTGACATTGACCTTTAACCTAGTCACCCTAAAATCAATAGGGGTCATCTTCTAGTTATGACCAATCACCATGTGAAATATGACAACTTTGTGAAGAATACTTTTAAAAATAATCAGCGGAAACCATTTTGACATTTACGGCCCCTGTGACCTTGTCCTTTGACCTGTTGACCTCAAAATCAATAGGGGTCATCTACTAGTTATGACCAATCACTATGTGAAATATGAAGACTTTCTGATAAATAGTTTTCAAGATAATCAGCGGAAACCATGTGGTCTACCAACGGACAGACAGACAGACGGACCAACATTAGCAAAACAATATACCTCCTCTTCTTCGAAGGGGGGCATAATAAGAAAATATAAAGTGAAATTGAAAATCGATTTTTTTTCACAATCTTTAGCCCGGTTAGAAATTCTGAAGTTAATCTAGTAAAAAGCTTACACATACATGTTGTCATTTTTAAGTGGAACTATTATTCTTATGTTACCAAAAATACTTACAAATGAAAATATCTTGGGCTTGTTTTGTATCTCTGGCATACATGTGACATAACTGTTCTAGGATGGACACCAGCAACAGGTGATTGGGCACTGTCCTTGGTAGTACCTTTGATGATGGCACAGCTGGCACATGGGGCTGAGAACTCAAACTGTTACTCCTAGTCAAACACTCTGACAGGTCAGAGTCTGAAAATGTAAAATTCTATACAGAGTCATTGAATAACAAATTATATACATGTACAACAAATAAGTTTAATACACTTTACAGTCACTTATTTTATGAACACAAGAAACATGGCAATGCCATGAAACCAGGTTTTCAATTATCACCATTGTAGATAAATATGTTGTATTTGAAATACAAATACAAGCAACAAACAATGTAACTATGTGCAATGTAAAACATGAATAATGTAGGAGGAATTGCCACTGAAGAAGTGTTCACTATAATATTATGTATAAGGAAAAAAACAAAGGGCCATAATTAGGTCAAAAACTATCCAATCACAAAACCCCGACAATATGTGCCAGGGTGCTTGATGACAAAGCTTCTGTGAAAGTTTGAACAAAATCCGTTGAGAAATGTAGGACGAGTTCAGCACAGAAGAATTTGTTCACTATAATTATATTGATAATTCTGTATAATGAAAAACAAGTTACAAAGTAGACATGAAATAATATATCATATCTTTTTTAAATTACCTCCAAAGATGATATGACCTTTGACTGCCAAATCAAGTTAAAATCATGTAAACAGGATTTTCAATGTTAATGTCACTGTGACCTTGACCTTGGAGCCAGCCATGCGGAACATGCGTTCTGCACGTCATCTTGATGTGGTAAACATTTGTCTGAAGTTTCATCAAAATTCTTCAAAGGGTTGAAGAGTTACAGAGCGGACAGGATTTTCAATGTTAATGTCACTGTGACCTTGACCTTGGAGCCAGCCATGCGGAACATGCGTTCTGCACGTCATCTTGATGTGGTAAACATTTGTCTAAAGTTTCATCAAAATTCTTCAAAGGGTTGAAGAGTTACAGAGCGGACACAATTTCGTTTGACGCCCGAAGTTAAAATCATGTAAACAGGATTTTCAATGTTAATGTCACTGTGACCTTGACCTTGGAGCCAGCCATGCGGAACATGCGTTCTGCACGTCATCTTGATGTGGTAAACATTTGTCTGAAGTTTCATCAAAATTCTTCAAAGGGTTGAAGAGTTACAGAGCGGACAGGATTTTCAATGTTAATGTCACTGTGACCTTGACCTTGGAGCCAGCCATGCGGAACATGCGTTCTGCACGTCATCTTGATGTGGTAAACATTTGTCTGAAGTTTCATCAGAATTCTTCAAAGGGTTGAAGAGTTACAGAGCGGACACAATTTCGTTTGACGCCCGAAGTTAAAATCATGTAAACAGGATTTTCAATGTTAATGTCACTGTGACCTTGACCTTGGAGCCAGCCATGCGGAACATGCGTTCTGCACGTCATCTTGATGTGGTAAACATTTGTCTGAAGTTTCATCAAAATTCTTCAAAGGGTTGAAGAGTTACAGAGCGGACAGGATTTTCAATGTTAATGTCACTGTGACCTTGACCTTGGAGCCAGCCATGCGGAACATGCGTTCTGCACGTCATCTTGATGTGGTAAACATTTGTCTGAAGTTTCATCAAAATTCTTCAAAGGGTTGAAGAGTTACAGAGCGGACACAATTTCGTTTGACGCCCGCCCATCCGCCCAGCCGCCCATCCGCCCGCCATACCCCAATCTAATAACCAGGATTTTCAAAATTGAAAACCTGGTTAATAAGTCTATAATATATCAAATATAATCAATTTATAAACATGGTACATGATAATGTTTATAACAATCTTGACCCTTAGAAAAGAGAAGCTTTAAAACAGAGAGAAATAAAGAATCCCTAAAGAACGCACAAAACGACAAAATTGAAAATGTTGCAGGCTCGGTTTGATTGAGCCTGTTCATGTAAGGTAATGGAAAGTGCAATTTACCGTCCACACCTTCTAGCACCGGCTTAAGCAGAATTCAAACATTTAATCATGGTAATGGTGAAATTTTGAATTTAGAAACATCTGCAGATGTGTTCATAGTTACGGTGGTTATCATGGACCTTCAATATGACACTTTCATGCCATTCCATGAAAAGCGGCATATAGTCCCCAAGTAAAAGAATGCGAGAGTCATTTGGTTATGTAAGCCAAAACCTGATGTTGCCATGTGACATAATGGATTGTTACCCTCTGATGTTGCAAAAGGTTATATAGTAAATAAATAATGTCAAATACATTTCGATACAATTTTATTGGAATCTGTAAGATGATCATCAGTAAACACTAGAGTATCATTAATGCCTTAATTATACCCTAACTAAATTGAAGCTGAAAAGAAGTAAGTGGAAATCTCACACCTATCTCTGTCTGGAGAGAAAATGCCTTTAGAAATCTTCCTACAGTTTAGTTTTTATAGCCTTGTATCTTTAGTCTTATGGGCTTATTTCCCAGTATGGTGGAACAATTAACAAATGAAAAAGATTCATACCATCAAACATGTAGATTTTATCAGGCTTCTTCATTTTCCTTTTAAAGCTTGCCATACTCCAGGTTATCTTCCTTCCATATTACCATATACTGTACACACAACACCATTCAACCCTGAATTGTGAAATGATAATGAGCAAAATCTGATTACTATCACTAGTTTTTCACCATATACATGCTTTTTACATACAATTATTATCTCCCCTGGCAGTCATTTTGGAGGTCATTCCCAATATATTGTAGGTGTTTAAGAAAATATAAAAAATCTCTCATAATTCTATCATCTCTATGAAAGCTGATAAAAATCTTTTTACATATTGGTGCTTTAATAATTATAATATATGCTGATATGTAATTTTTTTTTATTTTTGACAAGTCGGCACCTAAATCGGCAGCTCATAATGTTTTTGTTTTTTACATATTTTGTCAATTATATTGGCCCAAAATGGCTATCATTTTAAACAAGGGAGGTAAATATTGTAAAAATAGACTATAGAGCAATTCCAGCTTAACACTATTGGCCAACAGACATAGGAAAAGATGTTATTTCAAAATTTCCTACTCTTAGCTCTGGCCGCTTCTCATACAACAGATTGGAACCATTTGAGCATTGTTTTAAACTTTCATTTTCCAAACTGAAAGTATTAGACATGTATTGGTGCTTGTTAAACATTAATATGCTGGGTAATAACAGCTTCTCATTGATACAGGTAATATAACTATTGCAAACAATAAATTACAAATAAAAGCTGTGAGAAGCAGTGCACTTTTCTTTTTTAAGTACTTGATAATATGATAAAAGCAAAGAAAATGAGGCATTGACAGTCAATTTGACCTTTTGACCTCTTAGGTGTGAAAAGCAGAAATTTTCAAGTTGCATCCACATACATGAAGTATTCAATGTTACAGCTTCGTTAGTATTCTGTAAGTTAATGACCCTTAACAAAAACTTGACCATAAAGGTTGCTATTAAAGCTTTAAACAATTGATTATTAATATATTTGCATTAGTGTACTACAAATGTACATCACCTTATTTTTTATTTAACTGTTTAAGGTGGAAAGTATCACTCAAATTGCATTAGTGCCAGGTATAAGAGTAGTTTAGAAAATTGAAATAAAAAAATCATTAAAGGGTCATTACTCTGACAAAAATAGTTGAAGCAAAAAATGCCGAAGTAATTCACAACTAGACTTGGTACTGATCATTCCAGCAAAGTTTGAATGAAATTGCACCAGTAGTCCAGACAAGTTTTGAGACGGACAGACAGACTGATGTTCTAACGAGACAGTTGTCGAAATATACTAACATGCCAAAGCTAAAGCTTGATTCTGAGATATGTTTGTTCCGGGTCAAAATCTAGGGGTTATATTGCCAATGCACAAAATAGCACAATATCTTATCATGTAATACAATTACTCAATTTACTGGTTGGAGAGATAACTCCGACACATAGATAACCTTTCGTAGACAAAAACTGTCCCAAAACGTTCCTTTTACTGAATTACAAGGTAGTTAGAAATGTATTGACCACAGGCCACTAACTAGACAAAGATAATTGAAAAATTGCTTAAATATCAACAAAAAATCAATAAAACATATAAGATGTAAAAATAAATTAATGATGCTGATTTTCCAGTCATTTTTTACTTAAAAATTTAAGTGTCGACATTATCAACTGTTGTGGGGTAAAACGACCATGTTTTCAAATTTTGTATACCTCATTCAGGACCTTAAACAACTACCAGTTTCAATTTTCATTGTCATACATAATTTTTGTGGTGTAATGTAAAGTCTTTGAACTGAACTTTGTTTAGGTGGTTCAGTATTTAAAATATACAGGAAGATAATTAAGATACAATGTACTGTAAAAAATATGTGATTTAATTATTGTCAGAGTTATCTCTCCAACCAGTAGTTGGACTACTAATATGTGGCCACTGTATTGTTTTTTCAATAGTTCTTTTTAGATTGAAGAATAATTGACGAGGCATTCAGATTTAAACAGAAGTGCATGAAATACATAACACCTTTAAAACGAAAAAATGTAAAATTAAAAATGAACTAAATTGTTTTATTTTATCCGACTTCCCTGTTCATGGGCTTTGCCTACTTTCATATTACTTATATCTGGCAAGTCTTTTCTCATTTATTGTCACAAAATCCAATCTTAAACATTATTTATGGCTCAATCATAATATAATCAGGCTGGTGAAAATGCCCTCCCCGGCTTATGACATAAAAAATTTATTTCTGGAAAAATAGTTATAAAGATATTTCTTTTAAACTTTGTTTGTTTATTGAACATAATATATGACATAAACAAAAAGAAAAATATTTGGAAACTGTCACTTCTGTGAAAATTATTGCCCCTTTTTCATATTGATAAAACACATAATTTTTGAAGTCTTTAAAGATATGTTACATATGCAAAGTATAAAACAAAATAGGTTAAAAAACTTCTTTATGCTGCAATTCATTGCGCCAACACATGTCAGCATACATTTCATTCAGTTTTCAGAGAAAACTTCAAAGAATAATGTTCAGTGTCAAAGAATTGACAAAATATACATGCCAGAAACAGAATATTAAATCCAAATATATAGAATAAATGTACTGGCACAATAATAATAAGCAAAATGAAGTTGTTGGACATATTTCTGTTTAGAATTTTATAAAGCAACAAAGTTTTTAAGGACTTCAAAAATTATGTGTTTTATAAACATGAAAAAAGGGAAATAATTCTCACAAAAGTGGCAGTAACTAAATATTTCTCTTTCTGTGTATGTCATATGTTTTGCTCAATAAACAAACAAAGAAAGTTTAATAAAAAATATCTCTATTATTTTTCTAGAAATTTGATTTTTTTATATCATAAGCCTGATAGGCATACATAATAATTCATAATTTTTAGACTCATTTTTGGGACACTTTTCATTTGGAGGTGGGGCATTGATCAGCAAACATATTTTTTTTAATTTACATAGTGGCATACAACCTATATTACCGGTATTTACAACTTGCAAATTTAATGACACCATAAACAAGACAAAATGTCAATAATAATTATTAACAGTTTTTCTATCTTTTTTAAGTATTTAGGCATCGTAAATACTATCAGTCACAGAATAGACTAAAGCTATGTTAACTTAAGTAAGGGCAATTATCCATGTCTTTTCCTGAAACATTCGCTGAATCTTGTAGATTTCATCACCTCATATTTAGCCGTAATTTTCACGGTGTTTGACCACTAATAAGTGCTTGCAGGCGGATTAAATTTATACTGGCCAGTTGTTAATTACTGTGTATGACACCTTCGCTCAGGAAGCCACAGGGGGTAAACAATTAATCTTTTAATTGATCAAAATTATTGCCGATAATTGTTTGTTGGAAGGGACACATAGATATATCAATCAAAGGATTAGTGTCACCATTGCAATGCTGTATGGGGATAATCGTTTGTTATTAGTGTTCTAGACTAGTTTATAAAAAAAAAAATGTAAAATTTCTTGCTTCAAAGTAGATTTTTTAAGATTTTTTTTTGCCGGGACATAAATCATCTCCGGGACACCTCCGGGACAGACACCTTATTTCCAGGACTTTCCCGGACATCCAGGACAATATGGCATGTATGCCGATAGGGCATTAATTTTCACCAGCCTGTTTATGAAATAGAGGATATTTGTTTAGTTCAGTGTAAGATCGGAATATATTTCACCGAGTGAGCACCAAAAGGTATATTTCAAATTCACGAGTGGCGCAGTCACGAGTGAAATATGAACTTTTGGTTTTCACAAGGTGAAATATATTTTGATCTTACACTAAACTAAACAAATTTTCTTTTTATTATATGCAAAGAAACGTTTTAAAAAGACATAAAACCTAATATTGAATTAAAAGCGCGCCAAATAATAATACAACGTGACGTCATTTACAACGTCACGTCATTAAGTTGGTACCCAGTACTGTGCACGCTGGCATTTCACTGAAACAACGTAATGGGCTTAAACTCAAAACAGTGAAATTATCAAAGTGGTAATTTCACTGTTTCAAACAGTGAAATTACCAGTTTTAAATCACTGATATATTTCTATAAACCATCGAAAAGCATGTAATAATAGATCTATCTTGTTTTGATCTGTTGATATCATATCATATGTCTTCTAAACAAAAATAATTTCAAACAATTTGCTGCCTTTTTTAATTTCTATTTGTTCTGAATAGTTATAACTTATATAGTAATTTACTCGTTGAAGAGTTAATTAACTTAACAATCTTTATCCAATGTTTTTATTAGAGGGCCGAGTTAAATCGTACCGAGTTGGTATTGGGCCGAGTTGACCCTTTACCAGTTTACAGACTTTCACATTTTGGGTTGCATCAGATTTGATTTTCATTCAAACTTTTTAAAAACAAAAAAATCCTGATTAAACTAACCACGACAACTGTAGTCTAAAGGTCTTGTTACAAGTAAGTTTCAAGATCTCTGAATGTTATTGTTAATATTTCCGGAAATTTCGATAGTTTACTTTTCATTTCCATGGGCGCAGACATCTTACTTGATCGTAGACCACTAAATTGATAATGGATGTGGGTAAAGGTTAATGCCACTAAATATTTTCCTACACACATACGCTTAATTGGGTTCTGCAACGCATTAACAAAAAAAAAGATGAAAAACCTTGGTATTACCAAAAGTTTTTCCATGTTAACACGTGGCCTTTCACCTAATTTTGGTAAAAAATTGTTGTTTTGTGAATTTTCTTATTTTTAATTAACCCTTTACTTAATGAGCACTGTGAAAAATGGCCGTTTTCATTGAAAAGCCTCCTGTTTCAAGTCCAAACTGCTATGAAACTTTGAAAAATACTTCAATACAGTATTTACTGATGAAACTTGGCACAAATGTTTACTGGACCATAGCCTCTGTAACAGCATGGTAAATGTTACGATGGCAACGGGGGACATCTCAAAATTGCCAAAAATCCCTATTTGCATTGTTTTTTTCCATCAAAACTGATTTCAAAGTGCTGCAACTTCTCAATGGATTGAGATAGAGTAAAAGGCTTTTCAGCGTTGGTTACACGTTACCTTACGGTCGGCCTGAGAACACTTTTAGATTGTCATATGCCCAAAATTTTCTTGGCGATGAGAGGGACTGCCGCCCCTTCAAACCCCGGATAAAGAAGGGAGCACATCCCATTTCTGGCAACCCCTTAATATACCTTTTTTATAGGGGGCGGCGCCGAAAAAGTGATCACTTTTTTTCAACATTTCTCAAACGAAAAACAGTGTTTGGCGCCTAAATAGGACATTTTTTATACTGTTTTAGGCCTCAAAGGTGGGGGATGAATTTAAAAGCCTTTCAAACACGTGTGTCCTTTCCATTCATTTTTATTCAGGACTCAGGATGGCTTCGAAAAATAATAACTTTATTCATAAATAACTTGAAAATTCAGTGACCATTTCATGATTCAGCGATTAACAACATATAAAGCTGTGTTTAAAGATTAGATAAGGCGTTTATCATTTACATTTGATCTAATGAAACATAAATTCCTTAACAGCATAAAACAATTTCATGTAATTTAAAACAATACGTTGCTTATGAAGGTTGATTTAGGCCATTAAAAGTACGGTTGCCGAGACAATTACATACCATTATCATTATTATTATTATTATTATTAATAATAATAATAATAATAATAATAATAATTTTTTTTTGCCTGAGGGTTTCAGTTAAAATGTTTTGCTAAAAGTTGCTCTTCAGTTTTTTCACAAAAACACATGGATTTAGAGATTTATTAGTGTCATATTTTACACCAAATTGTAGCTGATGAAATTATCTTTTGGAATATAAACTTAGATTTCTGATAGAGATAGTGATTTTGTAGAAATTTTGCACAAAGTGTTTTTTTCTTTGTCTGTATTGGATTGGATTTACCTGGACATATTTACTTGATTTTACCTGTGTTAAATTGATCAGAGTGAATTATTGGATTAAGTCATACAAAAGATTAACTTCTATATTAATAGACACACTATACAGGATTATACAAAGGAAAACTGTTAACTGATCAGGAGTATCCATCTGCAGGTCAAAGTTTTGAACCTCTTTTCCTGGCCACTAAATTTTTGTTTATAATTGAATACAATATAATAGAATACAATGTCAAATAGAGGACAAGGTCAGACATTGGGTAATACCAAGCATAATCGCCAACAACAACATAACTCATTGAAAGGGAAATCTAATACAGATGAACCACCTCTTAAAAATAAAAGAACTCATTCTGATGTGAGTGAAGAAAGCAATTCTAGTATGATTGGTCTGTCCATTATTCAAACACAACTAGATGAAATGAATGAAAGTCTTAGTGAAGTAAAAAAGAATCTGGAACAAGTTCTTAAAAAGGAGGATATTGAAGCTCTGATTAAATCAACTGTTTGTAACATTATGGATAAACTTGAAAAAAAGATGCGTGAAGATATTGAGAACAAGGTTCAAGAAAAAACAAAACACTTAAATGAAAAAATTGACTCGATAAGTTTTGAAAATCAACAATTGACAGACCAGCTAAAATCTACATCAACAACCCTACAAAAACAGATAAATGACTTAGAAGAACAAATCCAACACAATGAAAAGAGAAGTAAGGATGCTTTGAAAAACTCCAACTATAACGAACAATACTCGCGTAAAAATAATGTAAAAATAATGGATGTTCCAGAAGATGAAGGTGAAAGTAACAGCAACCTGTTGACAAAAGTATGTGATATCTTTGCTACACAAAATGTAGAGTTAGCTAAAAATGAGATCATTGCTTTACACCGTATCCCAACAAGGAAGGGTGGAATTCGACCAGTGCTTATGAAAACCATGAATAACAATGTTAAGTCCAGATTGATGAAAAAAAGGAAAGAAATGAAAAAGATTGGCCATAGACTGGTAGATGATGTCACATCAGCCAACACTGGTTTGATCAACCGCCTACAACTACATTCTGATATAGAAAGTGCTTGGTACTTTAATGGTTCTGTCTATGGAATGACACACACCAAAAATCGCATTAAGTTTGACTTATATGACAACATAAATGAAGTTATTGCTGCATCCAAAGCCCATTCCAACAGTGGAAGGAGATAAAGTGACCTCAGACAGACAAGTATAAACATTGTATATTATAAAACATTTCTGTTTGTTCTGATGTGTTTGTTTTCTGTTTGTTTGAACATGTATTTCTTTGTTTTGTTTTTTCTTTCTTAACAGAAAACAATAATGTAGTTTGTTATTGAATCCTTAGAATTAATATTTATTTTCTAAAGACCATTTAACTATTGCTATGGTCCTTTACAAATTTCATTCTAGTGTTGTTGTTTTTTTTATACATGTGAAGCAAGATTAATCCTACTTTTGGGAAAACCCAGGTAAGCTAAAATGCATAAAATATAGTGCTATTTTTAGAACAATCTAGGTTTTCCAATAAATTTACAGCTATATCCAATTATAGAGTACTCTGCTTTTATAAATCAGTGACTTGTGTGTACTGTTTTTTTGTGTAAAAGATTGAACGTTAATTCATTTTTGTTACAATGCTGTTTATTTTTGTTTTGTTAATATATCATTTTACTTGTATGTTTTTGAGGCTTGAAGTGTTGTTTTATTTGGTTTATATAATACTAGTCAAATGTAGTTGTTACTTGAATTGTATTAATAGACGGAAAGGTATAAATGAATCAATATGCAATGGGTAGTCTCAAAATTTTCTGTTACAATTGCCGTGGTTTAAATGATAGTATTAAAAGACGTGATGTGTTAAATCTTTTTCAAACTAAAGAAGCTGATATACTTTGTCTGCAAGAAACCCATTTTATAAAAGATATAGAAAAGAAAATTTATTCTGAGTGGAATGGTTTATGCTATTTTAGTCACGGAAAATCAAATGCCAAGGGTGTAGCAATTTTATTTAGAAAGAATTTAAATATTAAAATTAATTCAGTTAAAACTGATGATAATGGATGTTATATAATTTTACAGGTATTGTTTGACTCTTCAACTTTTATATTAGTCAATGTTTATGCACCTAACATAGATAGTCCAAATTTTTTTAAAAGTATTTTTGATGATATTGATACCTTTAATGAGAACGACTCCCTAATAATTTGTGGAGACTTTAACCTAGTACAAAATCCTGAATTAGATTATCATAATTATAAATCAAGAAATAATAATATTAAGGCTAGGAATGTTTTACTAGATATTATTGAAGAAAAAAAACTTGTTGACCCATTTAGAGAGTTACATGGTGATGTCAAAAAATATACATGGCGACGCACAAATCCTATACAGCAAGGTAGACTAGATTTTTTTCTATTGTCAAGTGATTTGTATCAATATGTAAGAAAATGTGATATTGATATTAGCTATAAGTCTGACCATTCAATAATATATTTAGATATTTGTTTTGTTCATGTGACTCATGGAAAAGGTTTATGGAAATTTAACAATGCTCTTTTACAGGATATTGAATTTTTGAATATTATTAATGAGAAAATAAATGAAGTAAAATTACAATATTGTTTACCAGTATATAATATTGATTATGTGTTGGATATAAAAAATAATGACATAGAGTTTGTTATTTCTGATGATCTTTTTTTAGAAACGCTTCTTATGGAAATAAGGGGTAAAACCATTTCTTATAGCTCTTTTAAGGTCAAAGAAAGAAATATTTTTGAAAAACAACTTATGGATGAAATTATTTATATTGAGCAAAATTTGACAGATGACAATAAAGAAAAACTTTTACATTTACAGAATGAGCTAAATGAGTTAAGATCCAACAAAATAAGAGGAGCTATGATTAGGTCAAGGTCAAAATGGATAGAATGTGGAGAAAAACCTTCTAATTATTTTTTAAGTTTAGAGAAATCACATTGCACAGAAAAAGTCATACCTTTTATAGAAATGGATGATGGAACATTTATTTATGACCAAAAGGATATATTAGAAAAAACTTGTTCATATTATGAAAATTTATATAATGAGGTAAATTTAACTTCAGAATCAAACATTGATAGCGAACTAAGAAATTGTGTAGTTACTAAGTTGACAAATGATGAATCACTTAATCTTGAAGGTTTACTCTCATATGATGAAGTTTCTTTAACATTAAAAAATATGAAAAATGATAAAAGCCCGGGTTGTGATGGCTTTACAACAAATTTTTCTAAAACGTTTTGGAACAGAATTGGATATTTTGTAGTTAGGGCTATTAATCATGCTTATAATGTAAATACTTTTTCAAGAAATCAAAAACTAGGGACAATCGCGTGTATTCCAAAAGAAAATAAAGCAAAACAATTTTTGAAAAACTGGAGACCAATAACTTTATTAAATGTTGTTTATAAATTGGCATCTGGTAGTATAGCAAATAGAATTAAAGGTGTTTTAGATATTTTAGTGTCAAAAGATCAAACTGGATTTGTTAAAAATAGATATATTGGAGAAAATACTAGATTATTGTATGATATAATGAAATATACTGAAGATAATAATATACCTGGTTTAATTATGATGATCGATTTCGAAAAAGCCTTTGATACATTATCTTTTAAATTTATAGAAAAATGTCTTTTACTGTTTAACTTTGGTCCTATGTTAAGGAAATGGATATCATTATTTTTATATAATACTGAAACTTGTGTTATTCTAAATGGTTTTTTATCTACGTTCTTCAAAGTTAAACGAGGCTGTAGGCAAGGTGATCCAATTTCACCGTATATTTTCATTTTATGTGCAGAAATATTAGCTATTAAAATAAAACAATGTAACGATATTAAAGGTATACATATAGATGGTGAAGAATATAAAATTACACAATTTGCAGATGATACATCACTATTGTTAGATGGTACTGAAAAATCATTAAAAAATGCTCTAAAATTGTTGAATAAATTTTCAGAGATTTCTGGACTAAAAGTAAATTTTGATAAAACCAAAGTCATTTGGATAGGTTCCCTTAAGTACAGTACTAGATCAATCAAGACAAAATGGAAACTTACATGGGGTGATACACAGTTTAAATTGCTAGGTTTGATATTTGATGTAGATTTAGACAAAATGATTGATTTGAATTTTTATGAAAAACTACAAAAGGTAAAAAATAGTATAAGTCATTGGAAAAAAAGAATGTTGACACCAATAGGTAAAGTCACTGTTGTTAAGTCTATTTTACTTCCATTATTTACACATTGTTTTACAAGTTTGCCAACTCCTAGTGCAGTATTTTTAAAGACCCTCAATGATATATTTTATGACTTTATATGGGGAGGCAAGGCAAAAATAAAGCAATCAGTTATGACAAAGACATACAAAGAAGGTGGTCTTAACATGGTTGATATTTATAGTTATATACACTGTTTAAAGATAAAATGGCTTAAAAGGTATGTTAGTAATAGTGATGGAAAATGCTTTAACCTTGTAAAATCACTGTTTAATATTGATAAAATTTTTGATACTGGAAAATTGTTCTGTGATTTGATTATTAATAAGATTAAGAATAAATTCTGGATCGATGTTTTGAAAGCCTATATTGTACTTATTGATAAGCTTAATATAGATGATATTGAACAAGTGCTACATATGCCACTATTTTATAACCATAAATTGTTAACAGGAAGTAATATTTTTTTCGTTAAATCTTTATATGATCATGGATTTAGATTTGTAAAGGATATTTTAAATCAAGATGGAGAATTTTTAGACTTAAGTTACATAGAACAAATTACATGTAAACCAATTAATTTTATACAGTATCATAGTTTGAAATTGGCAATAAAAAGATACACACAAAACCTTAATATTTGTATTCAAAATGACTTACTGTATGTTCAGTATCCTATTATAAGTTGTTACATCAAACCTATTATAGTTGTCAATAGCAATCATAAATATGTTTATGAAACCATAGTAAAAAATATAGAGGTACCAACGTGCCAAGAAAAATGGATATCTTACTTTGGAGACATTTCCCTAAATTGGCAGTTTATATATGGTTATGTATTTAAATGTACCAAAGATTCATACCTACAATGGTTTCAGACAAGAATTATTCACAGAATATTGGCAACAAACTCTCTTTTATTTAAAATGAAAATAGTTAATTCTAAAATGTGCACTTTTTGTGAATGTCAAGAAGAAACACTGATACATTTATTTTGGGAATGCAAAAAGATTCAGCCAATATTTCAGTTTCTGAAAGAAAATATACATAATTTTGATACCTTTTTTAATTGTAAATCATTTATTCTTGGCTGTGAAATAAATGACTATAGATATGATATTTTATTTTTAGAATTAAAAAGATATATATATTTGTCTAAGCGAAAAAAATTGTTACCTACTTGTACTGGTTTTAAAAATAGTTTGAAATTAGCTTGGAATATTTATAAAAATATAAATTTGACAAAAGAAGAAATCAATAGATGGGCAATTGTTAAATCTCTTATTGTGTAACTGAAATAACTACATCAAAATTTGGTTATTCCACTAATATAAAAGAAAACAACTTCAATGCATACAAGATATTTTTTTCAGATGTTAATTTTGCTTTTTTTTCTTCGTTTTATAAACTAAATAAATGATATAGATATTAATCTTATTAATTACATGTATATGTGTTAACTGTTTAATCATTATGAAATGTGATATAATGACATAATGTATATGATTTGTTTGATATATATGTTGAGATGTTTGTATAATTATATGACTTGATTGATATATACATTATGATTGAATTATATTTGCAATACATGTAAGGTATGATGGGGATGCCCTCGACCCCTTCAGACCTATTACGAGGAAAATAAACGGGGTTACCCAGTTGGGGCCTCAAAAAAAAAAAAAAAAAAAAAAAAAATAATAATAATAATAAATAATAATAATAATGATAATAGTAAACAAAAAAAACATGTACGTACATGTACATGTAACTATACTATTAAGCAGCAACAGCAGATCAAAATAACCATGTTAGTATTCAGTAAAACTTGCACTGCAATAAAAAAACAAATAAGAAACAACGTTTTCCTTTTTAAAAGAATAATAATAAAACTAATTTGGAATAAGCCAATAATTTTACTAAAATATAATGCATGTAGCAACACTATATTCATAATATAGTTATGCTACACATTTGTCTTTATTCATATCAATACTTAAATATCTGTGTCGATAATTCTAATCATTTCTAAAATATCCAAGTTGTACAGCATAAGAATATCACTTTTTCAAATCAACCTTAAATAAATAAATTGCAAGCATGACATAGACAATTTACAAATGTATTTCAATCAATTAAGGCTTAAAAGTCCGTGATGGCTGAATAACAGCATATTTACAAGATAACGGACAGTGCATATGTAAACGTACAAAACATCACAATATAGTTATGATTTTACAGGAGATGGTCATAATAACAACTTATTCGCAAGAAAACATTAATTTATGTTTGTGTTTCACTTCCATACTTCATATCTGTAAAAATGATATACGTACCGTTGAACTTTAAACTTGTAGCAAGTAAAACTTATTAACTAGACACCAAAAACAGTAAAATAATACATTTTCTGAAATGCTTATGCATTTGTCTATGGCTGCAGGTAAAAAACATTTACAGTTCCATTTTAAATAAAATAATACATCAATTTTAAAAGATAATTACATATTAATTTTTTGCTACAAAACTATTTATATGACGAAAAAAACTGTTTCAGTGGGTATGTACGTTCTGCTATGATTTTTCTAAGTGAAAGGCATGGAACGTTACCAATATTTTAACATGCAGCAATAGATAAATGGTGTATTATATAAAAGTAATTTTTCACTTTTTGATAGACATGAGTGATATTTCAATGGAGTATACAGGAGCTGCTTATCTCTGTTATCTACATCTCTGGTTTTACATAATGAAATAAATTTAAAAAAAACACCCATTCTCAAATCTCAATGCATATATATACACAAATTAAAGTTTTTTGTCTATTTTAAGTAGGACTAAAGCAATCATTTGCTGGATATTTGATGAAGTAACGATATAAAGTAAACATTTTTTTTGTATTTTAAATATTTTTCAGTGTTAAAGGATGAGTTGATATTTAAAAGCGTTATTTCAATTTTTAATTTCTTCACTATGTATGTCATTACAAGAAATGTATCGGACAAAGCATAAAATGATCATATTAAACCGACACAGAATAAATCAACTGACATACGAGGCAGAATTAATTACGCCTGAATAGACAAGTTATCAGAAAGTCGTTGAAACATGCACACTCTTACAGTAAGTTATGGTATCGCATTAAGATAACTGGATCTATGTATTTGATTGTTAAGTAGTAGGAGCTGAAACATCTCCTGTTTAAGAATAGGAACACATTTGTGAACAATTTGAATAAGATTTTTTTATATCAGACAAAAGATGGCTCTGCCATTAAAGTATGTAAGAACTGGGGAAGGGACGATCGTTCGGTAAGGATTACTTACCGGATGTGCTCATTCGTGACTGAAATTATGCATGGAAGGTCTCATTACTCGTGTGTTTTCCAGGTCTCACCAGTTAGAGTAGAAATTCGGCAAACATACCTTTAATATCAGTGCCGTTATGAATTTAAACCAACCAAACAAATTTCAACATATTTAAATGATATAAATACAGATAGCAACGATCTAAACTTACACCATATTCGAGTATCTATCTGATCAATAAAGATAGCACATAAACATTCCGATATTGTCTTGATTTGTGATATGACTACAATAGGTTATCTCAGGTCACATTCATGTGAGTTTAACAATTGATTTATATGATTTTATTGAGAAAAACAGTGCACACATTTCTTCATTGCTTAGTTATTGTGGTACGTACCTTCTAAGGTAAGGTAAATCTTTTTCATGACACAAATTTACCACGATGTTTCAATTATTTAAATAAATGACGACTTTAAAACTGTAATATTCTAATCCGAAGTTTCATCCTAATATCTTGTCATCATTATGTTTTATTCATTGTTCCTTCTCTTCATCATGATTAATGTCTGCGTACTTTAATTCATTCTTATGGAATAAAAAAATATTCAGGAACGAAATGGAAAATTCCAAAGAACAACCACAACTTCAGAACGCCAACTGGCGACAAGGAAAGACTGTAGGGGCGTGTATGGGTGAAATGTTTGATAGAGGGCTCTGGACAGATGTAGAGTTTCAGTGTAAAGATCATAGCAAAAAAGGAATCATAAAAGCGCATAAAATAGTCCTAGCGGCAAGAAGCCCAGTTTTTGAGGCTATGTTCTTCGGTCCATGTGCTGACGGAAAGAGCGTTGTGGAAGTGAAAAATATCGAATCAGATATATTTCAAGCATTACTGAGGTAATTGAAAGAAATTACTCTTTCCTGAATCAGTAGAGTTTTAGCAAAGATCTTATAAATTAATGATTTTTTTCTATTACATGGTACAAAATATTTGCTCGACTTGCTTGTGAGAACGTTTTGAAGGTTTTACAGATTGCACTATTGCATTGCAGTACACATGAACGAATCTTTAATGCAAGCAGAAAATAAACATAGATATCAATCCCTTTTGTATGCATGCCAGATTGCTACATATAGGTAGACATAAAAAAGAAAAGGACTTTGTTAACGCTTGAAGGCTTATTCAAAAGCAGTTTCACATCTGTCTAATGCATGTTCTCCCAATGTCTTGCAGTGATCACCTTTTCATTATGCAGCATTTAAGTACATTATGGGAAGTAATCAAGTGTATATATACTCAACAATTCTGCAGTTATTATCAATAATCATGTATTCGTTTTCCTATCACCAATTTCATAATTCGTATTCGCCCCCTATCAGCAATTTCAATATTTGTATTAGTTTCCCTATCACCAGTTTCATAATTTATTTTCGCTCCACTATCAACCATTTCATCATTCGTATTCGTTCCCCTGTCAACCATTGCAATATTCGCATTCGTTTCCTTATCAACCATTGCAGCATTCGTATATATTCGTTCCCCATCACCAGTTTCATCATTCGTATTTGTTCCCCATCACACGTTGCATCATTCGTATTCGTTCCCATCACACGTTTCATCCTTCGTATTCGTTCCCTATCACCAATTTTATCATTCGTATTCGTTTCTCTATCACCAATTTCATCATTCGTATTTGTTCCCCTATCTCCATTTCCATCATTTGTATTCGCTCCCTATATACTACCCATTTTATCATTCGTTTACGTTTCCCCACCACCTGATAAATAGCAATCCTACGGTGTCCCATCGCGACACAAACATAACTCGAAATAAAGTTTCCTTTTAAAAGGAAAGGCTTGCACAGTTGTGCCTTCATCCCAACCCTTTAAAATTGTTTTTTTTTGTTTCAATTTATTATCACAATTTTTTTTGAATTACGGTATTTGAATATCATAAAGTGTTTATTTAGTTTTTTTTTTTGTAAAAACGAATATTTTTTGTCAAAACGATTTGAAATCTATTCTCTATTGTATAAAACTTATAAAGAAAATAATCAATCATAAAAATACTAACTATTCTATCATACTGAAAAGGAAACAAGTGTGCACATTTCATTTCCAGAGAAATCATTCCTTTTGGCAGTTGCTAATTTCATTTATATAGCATCTTTATGGACAAGTAAATGCACTAAAATACTTCGTTACGTGGTACCAATTAATAAGCATGTATCAACTATGTTACACGACCACAGATACGATGCGCTAACGTGGTAAGGTTAATGATATGCATGGGCTATTTTTAGATTACCTCACTGCGTTCATTAGATCTAAATATAACTCGATCATGCACTATATTCTGTGTGATTTGGTAAGCAAGACCACCCTTTGGAGAAGTAACCATCCTCTATTGTATCAGGTATATATGTTAATATACGTACCTGATTGTATAAAACTAATACAGACAAAAACAATTATAAAAGAAACTAACTTTTGCGTCTTGAAAAAGAATTGAAACGGAACAATTTCGTTTATAATTTATTACGGTTTAAACCGATAAATCAAGTAAAAATAGAAATCCTATTTATATAAACAAATTGGGATTACCGAAGTAACTAAAATAGCTTAGATTTCCGTAATATTACTTCGTCTGATTCCGCAGTATGACGGAATCGCCCGAATTGTCACGATTGCAATCGGAACTACATCGGCTATAATCATTAAACCGAAGAGTGACGGAAAGGGCCAAAAAGTTGCGATTGGCACGATTGCAGCTGGTTTCTCGTTCAATCATGCACTAACAAATGTAAGCAGGAAACCACCTAACCGGAACAACTTTTCCAAAACAAATGGGCTTGCAGCGTGGCTGCAAGCCAAAAACGAAAACACGAAAAACAGGGAAAAGTCGAAATAACGAAACTACGATGTTGAAAAGTCAGTTGATAGTATTTCGTGCTTTAACCATCACACTTTCGACTTTAATTTCATCCTCGGATTTTCGACCACGACGGTGAACGATCAAAAATATGATGATGAAAACGCGAAATTATAAGGACCATCGTGGTTTCCTGATTCAACTTATTACCATCGTACATTCGACTTTACATCATTGTGGTTTCGTTAATTCGATTTCTCACCATCGTAATTTCGTATTTTCAATGTTTCGAGGTATGTATGTGTTGCAATGGCTAACGTGTCACACTTGATAGTAGATAAGTGAAGAATACCGGGAAAAATAGTATAATTCCGTTCAAACATTTACTCATTGGCTTTGTGTATTGATTTCAATTCAAACTGCAAACTTTCAAGGACACTTTTGTTTTCGTATTTATAAAAGTACATGTATATTCAGAGTTTATTAATAAATTATTAGCTCATAAAGAACGAACTCTGTTTATTTCGCCATGTAACACAATATTAGGCAAGAGTTGAAATGACAATTATCATCGAAATATCACGTAGACATACCGGGTTCTCTACATAAACATGAGTCTGACATAGCAAGTGACGATGATTTTGTAATTGATATGAGCTATTTATATGTGACATGCTTTATTTGAGTATTTTTATTTAGATATATCTACAGCGATACTGTCAACCTTACAGAGGAAATAGTGTTCTCACTCATGGAAACTGCGCACTGCTATCAGGTCTCATGCTTGGTTCAATACTGTGCTGATTTTCTTTGCACAATATTATCACCGACAAATGCTTGCGATATTCTAACACATGCAATACTATATGAGCTCGTAAGCCTCAGAGATATCTGCTGCTCCTTTATTGACAATAATGTAGCGGTTCTTAAGTCAAATGGTTTCTTAGATTTATCGGAAGCAGCACTATTATATATTTTAAAAGGTGATACATTCTACGTCAAAGAGGAAGACATCATAGAAGCGGCGGACAAATGGTCAAGAAAAAAACTGGATGAAAGAGGACTTGAGCAGAATGGTGCAAACATTCGTAAGATTATGGGTCAAGCATTCTACCAGTTAAGAATTCCAACTCTTACAAATAAATCATTAGTTGAGTCCGTTAGCAGAAAAGGATATTTGTCTGTAGAGGAATATTCTGATATATCCGCTTTCATCAACAACGTTGACGGCATCAGAGTCGCTACGAATTCGTGTATTGTACGTATACCTGAGAGGGAATCTATCATATCACATATAACACATGGTATCAAAGAAATCTCTGATCAAATTTCTATAGTGTTTGAGATATGTGTAAAAAAAGACGTCTTACTTAGAACTTTCACATTATATACGTTGAGGCCATCTCACAGCTATTGCCCCAATGGTAGCGTCTTTATGCAGTCAAAATCAGACGATGGAAATCTCCCAGCAAACATGAACTTGACATTGTCTGTGTGTGTGCAGATTAAGACTTTAAAGTTAAAGAAGGTATTTGAAATCCAACAACAGCAACAGAATGAAGACAGCATACATTTTGACCAACCTTTAGTATTAAAAGAAAGTAAAGCTCCTTATCTTGTTGAAATGACATTAAGCTATAAATGTGGAAATGGTATACAAGTCCAAACAACAGGCGCTTGCAAGAACCCGACCTATGATAACACAGATGGCACGATAACAATAAAAAGTTACAGGCGCAAACGACTCTTTGGAATAAAGCGTATCGATTTTCAGAACTTTTCAAATCGTTAAAACAACGACGATTTACAACCTACGCGAGTTAATGAAGAAATAATATCTGTCTCAGAAGTGTCTATCGGTTATTAAACACAGGTTTCGAGTTTTGGTGCTTAGGAATTGACATGCACGAAGGCCGTAGGCCTGAGTGGTTAATTTTCTTTCGTATCAAAACAACGAACCGGTGTTAAATTTGCCTAAAGAAGAAGAAGACAAATAATTATGATATTGAATTATAAATACATTTGATATGATACTAGTAGTTAAAGAATTCTTTTAAAATGAAAAGCACTGCGCACTTTATAATTGTTCATTTTTGCGAAAAATATACGCCTCAGATTGTCGTGGATTCGTCATTATTATAAATGCCATTTTCAGATGGATATTTTATATCAAAGAGAAGTATGTACACTTCATTATTTTCTGTGTTTTGTTCAGCTATGAAGTCCAGTTGTGAAACATTGACTGTAGAATATAGTTTCCAATATTGTTAAAAGAAGAAATTTAGGGCGTTCAGGGAGACATTATTAATATATCAAAACTGTAAAGCGAGTTACATGTATCACGGGGGATGAACTGTTACACGAGGGGAGAAGTTCTATAAGTTCTGATAACTTGTCAAAGAGTTCTTGTGATAAGTGTCACGGAGTTAGTCGGTAACATTTGTATATACTACAAAAACACTCGTCAAAAATGATAATTTTCACCTTTGAAAAGTGAGTTTTAGGTGCTTTATTACACTTTATTGATTAACTTTGCCTAACATATTGTATTATGTGTCAAAAACTAATTCATAGTCCATTTTTCATCGCCTCTTGCTTAAAGAGCAAAATTTCCAAATTATTTGCCTATTCGCACCTATCAATGGCGTGGTTAAACATTGATATTGGTTTAAAGCAGGGGTGTTTCCTGTCTACGACGGCTTTCAAGATGTACATAAATGACTTGAGTGTAAAGCTTGATCATATGAATATAGGAATAAAAGTCGATGGGAAAAAATATGTCACTTTTATACGCCGATGATTTGGTGCTCATCGCTAAAATTGAAACATACCTTCAATCGCTAATGAATGAACTTGCCATCTAGTATTGAGAACAGAATGTGTGTAAACGTTGACAAACTTAAGTCATGCATTTCCGTAACCCATTCAGAAAACAGAGTACAATTTCATCTTCAATGGTAACGAAATAGACTGTGTAGCGCAATATAAATATTTCGGACTGATGCTGATTGAAACTTTAGATTACGTCAAAATAGCAAAATGCGTTGCGCAATCAGTTATTCGTGCTCTCGGTCTCATTATCAGTAAATTCAAACTCATGGGTGGAATGCCGTATGCAGTTTATACTAAATTATTCGACAGTATTGTGTGGCCAGTGATCAGTTACGGAGCAGCAATATGGGGAACCAGAGAATACTAAGCGATAAACTCAGTTCACCATCATGCCTTCAGATTCTTCCTTGGTGTAGCCAAACATACTCCGAACGACGCAGTTACAGGCGGCATGGGATGGCTCCCCCCCTCGGATAAGACAATGGCGATCTACACTCGGACATTGGTTTAGGTTTAGGTTAAATAATATGCCATCGTCAAGACTTTAGAATCATGTATTTAAACGGTCGTATAGTATACGAAAAAAAAACTGAAAAAATTGGTTCTATGAAATAGATACAACTACACAAAAGTGTCTTGAAATATCTTTGTTATTAAACAAATACTATAGTCAGTCTGAGAGATCAAATTTTATGAACTCATTGCAAGACAAACTGTTTTTTGATTTCAAAAAAGATTGGTTAACGAGAATAAATTCAATAAATGGTGTTAGCGGACAAACAAAATGCAACAAATTAAGACAATAAAAACTATTTAAGAAAGAAATAAAACAGAATACTATGTACAGTCAGAAATAATAAAAAGGCATTATAGGGGCGCATTATCCAAATTTAGATGTGGAGTTGCTCCTCTAAAAATTGAGACTGGTCGCTATGAAGCTTTAACAGTTTATGAGAGAATATGTTTGAATTATAGTATTAACATATAAGATGAGCTAGATGTCCTTCTTAAATGCCCACTTTATTCGCAAATAAGAGAGGCGCTTTATATCGACATATATAAAACTAATGACAGATTTCTAATGTACAGTATAGTGATAATGAGAAATTCATATTTTGCTATCAAATGAAAATATTGTAAATATTCAGCCAAAGCATGCTTTAATATATTTTGTGCGAGGCGCAAGTTATTATATAAGGGATAATTTTACTTTGTACACATGTATCATAGTCAGAGTTTGAATATTAGTTAGTATGCGTTTGTTTTATATTTGTAATATAAGTTTTATTGCTTCCACATATTTCAGCTTTTATGAATATTTTAATATTGTTTTAAATGTTTTATTTTATTTATGATCATGCATGTTCTTAGTCTCTGATAATTCTTTTAGATTGGTTTTGTACACGTATTCCTTTTAAAACTGTTATATTTGTTAATGTATGTATAAAAGTGAGACTTAAATAAACAAATTGTCTTGTCTTGTCTTGACTATTGACCTGTTTATTTCTTGTCTTCGTCTGTGACATATATGATTACCTAATTATAATGCAAAATTGCAAACCGAAAGGCCCGGCTAAATATTTATACCTGATTTTTCAAATGTCCTGGAGTTCTTGTGATAACTCTGAAGATGTCCCAGAGTTCTTATGATAACTTTTGTTACTGCCAGGCTGTTTCTTGCGCCTAATCACGGACGTTTTAGCGGTTTTTATTATTCAATAATGTTGAAAATCATTATTAAACGTAGTACGCTCATCCTTTGCACAAAAATGTGGATAAAATGTTGGATAAAATTGAATAATAAAAAACGCTAAAACGTGACACTGGCAGTAACAAATAATGTTTTGACATAAAACAACAGGAATGATTGAATTGTACATGTTTGGCAATTATGATCGGACATCATGTCAATGAAACCTACAAACATAAGCTAATTATAATTATAAACTAATTTATGTCGTAATATCTGTTATCTTAGACACAAATTTATTTTGAAAATAATGTGTTATACTGCTCGGAAATTCCTTTTTAAAGGGAACATGGTGACTTATTTGCTGCTCGATCGATCGATTAGAAATATCTATGTTAGCATGCGTAGAAATATTAGAAAATGTCACTGTTAATAATATATATGACCATCTGCTTTAAGCAACGTATGCATACATTTCAACACTTATAAAGTATTTATTTAATCACTCACTTTTAACTCATAACTCTGAAAGTTGAATCAAAATATACAATGAGGTTTGGAATTATTAGTTCTGTCAAATCGATTTTATTCTTATTCTTTCTCTAAATAAAACACCATTTTAAATTTAGCAAAATAAAAAAAAAATAAAAAAAAATAATAATAAGTACACCATTTACATATTTTTCAATCAAAATGAATAATAGTAATAATAAAGTTTAACATAATGTTGGGCGAATAGATACCATACAATCGTGTAGAACTTATTTACGCGTTGACAAGACGTTAGAGTTTCCAACTTGCATTAAAATATCATTTTGTGGTTTTTTTCCCCTGTTTTTTATGTTTTGGCTTTTAAACACTACCATGCTTTTCCTTTGTATATCTTTATAAACTTCTTGAGAAAAAAAGACTATTACTTAAAAAGACACAAAAAATGTTACTTTGACGGGGATTCCAACCCGAGACCTTTCACTATCTAACCGAATGTGTAATCACCGCATCGACCTTAGCAAATTAAATTATCCTAAATTAAAAACGGTACGTTTTCCTTAATAATTAAAAAAAAACAGGCTTAAAACGGTGTTGATGATAATTTATGTTGACAATCCATTAATATAATGGAATACAATTGAAATTATTTTTGCTGAACAAAATACAAAAAATTGTGTAAAATTTATATTTATTGACTACATCTGATGCCAATCCTTACAATCATGACAAGCTTAGAAATACGCGTTGACAAGTTCGGAAATCATTGAAAACATGAAACAACTGTTTGTAACATTATTATTTCTTTAAATAGTTGCGGAATAAAACTAATGTAATAAAATACCATTATGAATAATTATTTCTCATTTGATAAAAGTTTTTGAGTATTATTTAAGCAGTCACTGCTCCAAGAAAGATAAGTAATCACCATTCGGGAAAACTAACCCCACCCAGTGATTTGATCGAATCCGCTTCAGCGAAGCAAAGAGGGCCACTGTGTAGGTAGGGGGTTTGGTGAGAAATGCCACCACGTCGCTTCCGGTGGCTTGCGAATCCAAATTTGCTGTCATTCAAGGTAATATAACAAATTTAGTGATTTATTGATAATAGCTTAGTAAAGTTCGAAACAAAATCGTAGGCATAAATGTTGGTGTTGCCGAATGAGCATTTATTTCCAATATCTCTCAGAGCCCTATGATTGAAAGACATGTACAAACATGATACTGACTTACGGGAGATTGATTGTCGTAACCGATAAATAAATTAACAATGTTGTGCAAGAGGTTATATAACAGACCGGACAATTAAACCTTAAAATAGACTAAATGGTGCTTTTCCAGGCCCGATTCCACCGGTGGCGGCTAAAGGGGCTAAAGCCTCCTCCCAGACACCCTAGCCTAAAACAACACTGAATGCCTCTAGGCAATTTGTCAACATAATGTCTTAGACTATATTCTCCGGGTCGTGCATACGCTTTTTGTCAGATTACTCTTTGTCATTGTAGAGTCTTCATAATACTGAGTAAATTAGCCTTAGTACGTACTCTTAGTAGATCGAAATATATGTACTGGTGAATTAAAAATTGCCCCATTGAATGTGTGTGGGTTTTTTTGTTGTTGTTGTTTTTTTGTTTATATATTTAGCTAGTTTTAACTCTTTATCCATATATAAATACTGAAGTGTAAGTGATGTAAAATTTTAATCAAAAAGTAATTCTAAAGAATGGCTTATTTAGTGTTTATGTTATTCATTTCTGCATGTCATAAATAAAACATATGGACTCGTCCGATTAGACGGATGAGTCCTGTACTATGTAATTACACGAACAGAAGAAATAATTAAAACAAGCAAAACAAAGCATTTAGATTATACTTGAAATAAAATGTATGATGAGGAATAACATATTTTGTTACTAAACTTTGCTACGTCTGTTCAATGATTTCTGTCGTCTGCTACTAGATACTGTTTGACGTAAAACAAAATAAGATGTCTGCGCCCATTGTACATTCTGAATGCTTTGGACTTCTAGGCGAAGTTCAATATCGTCACGTCTTACTGAGTTTTTAACATTAGAAGGAAGTAAATAATAAAGTAAGTAGGTTTATGTATCTTTTAGCAAGAGTTTTATTTTACTAAAATTGTCTTTTTCCGCACACTTTTTGATAAAGAAAATTTCAAATCACAACTGAATTAGCTCTATTAAACATAATATGTTCGTTTTTGTACTCATGCGTATCGAGACAAAACGTGCATTAAACAACAATACATGTACATCTTTGGATATTTAACACTATTACACTAACAGTATTGTATTTTATTATTGTCATCAAAGGATACTGTTTACGTTCGAATCGATTTTTAAGCAAACTTCTAGTACAGTACGTGGTTTGTGTAATCTTTATGTTTCGTTTTCCGCCTTTTCTTGTTTTCAATATTTAGATAAGTTTTTGTAGTGTCCAATACAATTTTGTTTCAGATTCAGTAAATAAATCTAAAAGAAATATATGTTATTACAGATTGATAGCAGAACTACATGGGGATGATGACGCGGATACATTTTAAAGTACAGTCACTACATTAAAATGTCAAGCATTTAATTTAGTTTAACAGTACCAGTTTTAATAATAATTTGGATGGCAGATGCTAGCAAAGAGTGTGTTATGCATGAAGTAAGGAAATACTGGCAAGACGGAAAGAATCTAGGACAATGCATGTTGGAAATGTTTCAACAGGGTCTCTGGACAGACGTCGTATTTAAATGTATGGATCATGACAAAGGGGAGGAAGTGATTAAAGCACACAAAAATGTGCTTGCATCTAGAAGTTCCGTATTTCAGGCGATGTTCTTTGGTCCCTGTGCTGACACAACAGATGTAGTAGAGCTTAAAGATAGAGAGAAAGAAATTCTACATTTATTCCTTGTGTAAGAACTTTTCATTTTTCTCCCGTGTGTAAGAACTTCTTTTTTGTTCTCATTTATATGAGAACATCATATTTCTTACTTATTTTTCTTTCTTGAGTAGGAACTTCTCCTTTTCGTCCTTGTGGAAGAACTTCTTTTTTCCTGGTGTTCTTCCTTGTGTAAGAACTTCCTTTTTTGTTTTTCCTTGTGTAAGAACTTTTTTTTGTTTGTTTTTCCTTGTGTAAGAACTTCCTTATTTTCTTCCTTGTGTAAGAACTTTTTTCTATGTGTAAGAACTTTTTTTCCTTTTGTAAGAACTTTCTTTTTCTTCCTTGTCTAAGAACTTCTTTTTTCCTTGTGCAAGAACTTTTTCTTACTTGTGTAAGAACATTTTATTTTTCTTCCATGTCTAAGAACTTTTTATTTTTTTCTTCCTTGCGCAAGAACTACTTATTTTTCTTCCTTCTGTACGAACTTTTTTCCTTGTGTAAGTTCGACTTCTTTTTTTGTTCTTCGTTGTGTAAGAACATCTTAATTTTCTTCCTTGTGTAAGAATGTGTAAGAACTTTTTCCTTTCTTGAGTAAGAAAATATCATTTTTTCTCACTGTTTAAGAACACCTTATTTTTCTTCCTTGTGTAAGAACATCTTATTTTTCTTCCTTGTGTAAGAACCTAAATATTTTGTCACTTTTAGGATTGGTGAATGTCCGTCGTCCGTCGTACGTCCACAATTGCTTGTGAACACTCTAGCGGTCGCATTTTTGCCTCAATCATCATCAAACTTGGTCAGGATGCTTATCTAGTTGAAAGCTCAAATGAGTTCGAACATGGGTCATCTCGGATGAAAAACTAGGTCACAAGAGCTAAAAATAGAAAAACCTTGTGAACACTCTAGAGGTCACATTTTTGATTCAATCATCATCAAACTTGGTCAGGATGTTTGTCTAGGTGATAGCTCGGATGAGTTTGAACATGGGTCATCTCGGATGAAAAAGTAGGTCACAGGAGCTATAAATAGAAAAACCTTGTGAACACTCTAGTGGTCACATTTTTGAACCAATCATCATCAAACTTGGTCAGAATGCTTGTCTAGTCAATTGCTTGGATGAGTTCGAACATGGGTCATCTCTGATGAAAAACTAGGTCACAGGAGCTAAAAATAGAAAAACCTTGTGAACACTCTAGTGGTCACATTTTTGACCCAATCATCATCAAACTTGGTCAGGATGCTTGTTTAGATAATAGCTCGGATGACTTCGAATATGGGTCATCTCGGATGAAAAACTAGGTCACCGGAGCTATAAATAGAAAAACCTTGTTAACACTGTAGCGGTCACATTTTTGCATCAATCATCATCAAACTTGGTCAGGATGCTTATCTAGTTGATAGCTTGAATGAGTTTGAACATGGGTCATCTCGGATGAAAAAGTAGGTCACAGGAGCTATAAATAGAAAAACCTTGTGAACACTCTAGTGGTCACATTTTTGAACCAATCATCATCAAACTTGGTCAGAATGCTTGTCCAGTCAATTGCTTGAATGAGTTCGAACATGGGTCATCTCGGATGAAAAACTAGGTCACAGGAGCTAAAAATAGAAAAACCTTGTTAACACTCTAGTGGTCACAATTTTGACTCAATTGTCATCAAACTTGGTCAGGAAACTTGTCTAGGTCATTGCTGGGAATAAATCGAACATGGGACATCTCGGATGAAAAACTAGGTCACAGGAGCTAAAAATAGAAAAATCTTGTTAACACTCTAGTGGCTACTGTTGTGATCCAAATATTCTGTTAATTGGTCTGAAAGTTTGTTTTGATGATTTCTAAGTCAAGATCGAACATGGGTCATCTTGGATGAAAAACTAGGTCACACCGCCCAAATATGGAAAAACCTTGTTAACATTCTAGTGGTCAAATTTTCGACTCAATTATCATCAAACTTGGTCAGGATGCTTGTCTAGGTAATTGCTTGGATGAGTTCGAAATCGCATGTGAAACTAGGTCACCGGAGCTAAAAATAGAAAAATTTTGTTAACACTAGTTGCTACTGTTTTGATCCAAGTATCCTGGAAATTGGTCTGAAAGTTTGTTTTGATGATTTCTAGGTCAAGTTTGAATATGTGTCACCTGGGTAAAAAACTAGGTCGCACTGCTCAAATATGGATAATCCTTGTTAACACTGTAGTGGTCACATTTTTGACTCACCTGTCATGAGACTTGGTCAGAATGCTTGTCTAGGTAATTGTTTGGATGAGTTTGATAAGTCAGGTGAGCGATCTAGGGCCATCATGGCCCTCTTGTTTGGTATTGTTGTTGTTATTTAAGATCACAATATTATATTTTTTCTAAAAAAAAATGTATTATTCTATATAGTCTGTGAATATTTTGATCATACTTTGGTGCCAAGTTAATAATGAATGATTTAAAAAAAACAACATTAACATAATCTGTTTGTCTTTCACAGGTACATATACAGTGACTCGATTACGTTAACAGAAGGTACTGCTTTTGCAGTTTTGGAAATGGCTCATTATTACCAGGTGACAAATCTTGTTATGTTATGTTCAGAGTTTTTAAAAACTGTATTAACAGCAAGTAATGTATGTGAAACTCTGACGTTAGCAAGGTTTTACAACCTGTATGGCCTGAGAGACGCATGTTGTTCCTTTATTGATAGTCACGCACAAGACGTTATACAAACGGAAAGTTTCATGAACATATCTGAAGATTGTCTTTTATATATTCTTAAAGGGGATACACTTTATGTTGAGGAAGAATACATTTTAGAAGCAGTGGAAAGTTGGGCACGCAGAAAATTGGGAGAGAAAGATGTGGCAGTGAGCGGTACAGATATACGTAAACGTATCGGAGAATCGTTTTACTTTTTGAGACTGCCCACAATGTCTTCTCAAACGTTGCGCGAGTCAGTAAGCAGAAAGGGATATTTTTCTGTTGAAGAATATGCAGATATTGCGGCATTTATTAACAAAGCCGAAAATATATCCGTTACTACTAACTCATGCATAGCAAGAGTACCAGAACTTGAAACAGTGAATGTAAATAACCAAGATGGAGAAACAAGATACTTCAAAAATCTTCATATTTCTTTCGAAATTACTATGCTTAAAAGTGCCTTCTTGTCTCGTCTTGATCTTGGTGAAATCAATCCGTATTTGGTCAACACGCAAGATATCTATACTGATGAAGGGAACACAAGTAATTTTGCTGGGGAAGTCCGTCACGGCAATTCCTTTAAGGATGCGACAATTGATTTCGATTCTTTCTTTCGGAAGAAAGTCTTAAGAATTTCAACCCTCGATCGTCCGAGACATCGGAATTACTACGTTACCGATATGTATAAATTTGTCGGTTCGAATTACCGATGAATTTATGTTTTTTCCTTTCGGGAAGTATCAGTGTCAATGACATTGGCGTTGGAGAGGAATTCAAAGTGCAGCAATTTAATGCAACAGATACTGAAGTAAATCTAACAAAACCTTTATTTTTAGAGAAAAGGAGCGCTCCGTATATTGTTAATATCAGCATCAGATACAGCTGTAGCAATGAATTAGAACTTAAAGCCACATGCAGTGCAAACAAGGAACTTGTTACTAGTGGCACAGGAATGATTCACATTCAATGTGTATCTACATATGATTCAGGAATCAAAGGTATCGGGTTTAAACACGTCTCCAGCCGTGATAAATCGAATCTTCAACCCGTACCTGAAACGGATGAAGAGAATGTAATATAGATGATACATGTAAAAAAGCAATGAGCAAAAAAAGCCCTCGAATAAAATCATAAATTATATCAATGAGGAGTTTGTACAAAGAATTACTTTATATTTTTTTGTTTGATATGTACTTGATATAAATGTTTACAAAATTAAATGTATGTACTTTTATGATATCAATTTTGTTGCCTTCAAATTCGATCAGGTTCGTAAAATAATAAGACTTTCTAGTTGACCAATGCTGAGATATTTTGATGTAAAAATATACTCAAAGTCAATTTGTTCGTTTGAACAATGCCAATATTGTGATCAAGTAAGCATACAGGCTTTTCAGTAACCAAGTGCTAAATTTTCTTTGCAACTAAAGTATTATATATCAGTCTAAATATGCACAGAAAAAAAAGAGTTAAACACCTTTATAAATGGCCGATTGTTTTCGAGCAGTATTATATGCATGCAATTTTTAAAAAAAAATGTGTCGTTCAAATTCAACATATAACTCGCCACTTCATATGACCATTGTTAGACAGATATACGATACTTGCGGCTTAAAGACCCAACCTAGGTATAAAAGGGAGGTAATGGCTGGTGGGTGGTTTCCCTTGATTTTTTAACTGTTTTCAGCTCAGGGACAGATTTTTTAAAATATTTGCAGTTTAACAGTGTTTTTACCAAAGAAAAAATTCCTAAATGAAGCTTAGTTATTTATTTATCAGTTTAGATAAGAATTTTGAAAATGTATGAAGAAATAGGTTCTTATAATTTCAAAACAATTGATAACAGAAATTCAAATTTGAACTAAGGGGAGGAGTTTATTATGTAAATAACCATGTGACCACATTGTTTGTAAACAAAGCAATGTGATCACATGGCAATCCATGCACATGCAATATGGACATCAATGTGTTACTTACTTGATATAACAGTTTTTCTGAGTTTTGCCATAAAATCCAAATTTGAATCTTACTAATTGTAGTTTATTTTATTAAAAGTGCATAAATCCAGTAAATTTCACAATGAAAAGAAACAAAAAAAAACTTTTTACTCTTGGTTTGTATTTCTCACTCTTGTAAGTTATCAAATTTACAGTACATTATATTCAAGTAATAAATTGTACTTTTTCAATTTTAATGGCTAAGGTCACCAATAGTGTCCAGTGTAGGGTTGTCCTGGTGGATTAGGATACCTTTCCCTTACTAAGTTTAAAACACAATTGGGCATTATGTCTCGTTGGACAAAAACAGTGCTCTCATCATTTCTTCCAAGAAGTCGAGCTTTTTTTCTCAGGTACTTTCTTTTACGCCAAGCATTTCTTCTTTCCAACATTGACCAAAACTTTTTGTATCTGATTTTTCTTGAAATCCTATTTGTTGGTTTTTGGCCTTGACCCCTTTCCCATCCAGGACTGTTCATTCACAGTTACACACAAGGAGAACAAAAACAGTATTCACATGAACTATCATCTGTATCTGTGGAATCAGAATCAGAAACTGATTCTCTATTTTCCACTGATCTTTGCCTTGTATCAGTACTTGTTCCAGCTGTCTCTTTGTCAGTGCTATCTATATGTCCAGTTTCCTCTGATATGTTGTGAGCTTCGTCAGTGACCTCATTTCTCTCCTTTGTTGGTGAAACTGTTATAAAATCCCAATTATTGTGGTTGAAAAGAGCTTCGATTGTAAGTTTTTGCTCTTCAGTGACCAGTAACGACAAAAAAAAACGTATCCATTAAGATTAAAAACACAAGTTATCAATGAAAGCACAAAGCAAAAATATTTTCCCAGCACAATAAAAAAAATATTCCCACCTAAACTGACTTCTAAAAATATAGTAGATACAAAATATGTAAGGTATGGAGGGTACACATGAAGTCATGTTTATTATTTAATATCATTATGTTTATAACCTAATGATATCAACTTTGAAAGTAAAGATTTTTTTTATATTGCCCGTTTTAGAAACTCTGCACTAATTAGATGATGTATTAAAAACAAGACCTTACAATACCTGTCACCCCCCTTGTATAGTAGTGCTGTGTGCCAATTAAACACAGAAATGTTATATTTTGTTTATCTCTGCTGATAGCAGCAGGACAATACACTTTCTGAATAGTCTAAATAATATATCAAAAAGCATTCTAAATAACTAAACACATTGTATATGGAAAAATGGAGGATAAAGGTCAAAAGAGAAAATATTATAAGGATAATCCAATTTCTGTTAAAAAAACGAAATCAGGAAAGAAGAAAAAAAATTTTATTGAAGGCAAAATTGGATTCATGTGTCAAAATGAGCAGGAAAAAGCAGGATATTATGGACTTTGTTAGAGATATAAAATCACATTTTAGGTGAGGGAAATCCTAACAATGTAACATCAAAACAGTTATTTTTAGAAGTTTTTAGTTCGTACAAGGCTCGATATATTGAGACCAATCAATCAACATCTGAGAGCCAAGAGAAACAAAAGAGTGACAGCTATTACGATACTTCGTTTCAAAGCATTGATGAAGATGACTATGGTGAAGAACAGTTCTTTCTTACATCTTCAAGCAACAATAATAATTTAATAAAGCGTGTTGTAAGTCACTCAAAATCTTGTGAGGAACAGCTCATTTTATCATCTACCAATTACTTTGGACATGTGGGGTGTCCTAAAATTTACATGCAAAAGCGAACATAGTTTTGACATGGAATAGCAGTCAATACTTGGGACAGAAAATATTTGACTAATTTAAGAATGCTGCATGGATATTTCGTGTCAGGAATACTTCCTAATCAGTTTAATAGATTGTCATCTGCTGCTGGTATAGGCTGTCTTGGAGAAAGCTACATTAACGAAGTGTTTTCAAAATACAGCAATGTTGTAGGTGAAATGACAGAAGAAGCATGTGATCTTGCAATAAAGTCAGAAATACAATCAAAATGCAGGAGAGGAATTTATTGACATTTTGACTGATGCACGATATGGCACAAGAAAGAATTCATACCACACAGATGTTGTGTGTATAGGAGCAAATACACACCGAGTCCTTAAAACTGTACATGTAACAAAAAAAAGATTCACAGTCATCTCAAAAACACGAACTAATAGGAACCCAAAAATTATATGATTATTTTGATAGGTATATATACAAAGACAAAAGCATACAAGTAAGACTACATTGCCATGACAAAAATGCAAGTGTTAACAAATTTATCAAAACAGAACGCAGTGGGAACAACATCAACGAATGATACCTGGCATGGAACAAAAAACCTCACAAAACAAGTCAAAACTGTTTGTTCAGGTCCAAAATATAAAGAAGGTTAAACTTGGCACCAAGAATTATCAGACAAAGCTGCCAGCATCAAAACGCATGTCTTACTGGGCCATGAAAAAACTGTGATGGTAATGAAGAAAACCTAAAAACTAGCATACTAAACATTGTTGAACATTATAAAGGCAACCATAAGAATTGTCATGAAACATCCAGATGCAAAACAGACAGAAATTATGAAAGTAGCAAAATTATAATTACTGACCCAAAAGCTGAAAAACTTTTTGACAACTGTTCTTACAAACATTCAAATCTATAAAACTGCAAAAGATTATGTACATTGCATGGATACATATTATGTAGAAAGTTTCAATAATGCATTGTTGCAATATCATGACAAAACGAATAAACTTTTCGGAAAAAGTGTACAGGTTTAGAACAAATATTGCAACACTTGACTGGAATGAACATGTAAACAGAAAAGTGACATCAGAGAAGGATATAACTGACCCTTTGACATCAAGGAGAATAGTTAAAACTAAAGTCCTAAAACGAAAAACATACAACTGGTGGTCAGAAATTTTGTTAAATTTTGTTGACTCTTCGAGAGAAATGCAATAAAAATCTACATACAGACATGTGATTATTATAGTTAGATTTATTTTTGTGTAAAAACCCATCGTCTGCTTCAGCTATTTTTAGATATACTACACTGAATCAGAATAGCTGGACGTCTATCACTGATAAAACAATGTAGAGAGAGGGTTAATTTGCATCCGATAGTCTGATCGGATGTTGGGGGTTACGCACATCTCAACCGTTAAGATTTACACTGATCCCACGTACCCTTACGATGCGTTCTGTAAGAGGAACCTCGTAAGCTATTTATATCACATTGTCGTAAAGTCCCATCACATGCTAAATTCTTAACTTCAAATTTCAATTTTCATCAAACTTAACTTTTATGTTTTGAAATACATTATATTCTTTGTTGACAGAAACATTGAATTATAAACAATAACTATTGGAAGTTAAAACAATTACATCTTCGAGTTGTAAAACACATTTTGACAATTATTATATGCGTTTTAAATAACAAGATTGATTTTATAAGAACAAACAATTTACAAACATGAATATTTGGTTAAGAAATTGGCACATAGAATAATTTATGTCGGATATTCGCAGCATTTAATTTTTTCCCTATTTAAAACCCGGGATGCCCCAAGGGTTCATGCTTTTGTTTATGCCCCAAATTTTTTTAAAAAAGGTATTTAAAATTTAAAAATTTTTTTGAAGTAAAAAAAAGTAATTTCACAATGAAAAGGGAAACAATAAATTTTTCCCAAAAAATAAAAAATTTTTTACGCTTTAAAGGTAAAACATTAAACGCCCCAAAACAGAAAAAATTTTAAGCAAAATTTTTGAATATTTTTTACTTTTTTTAAGATTTTAAATTTACTTTTTTTTAAAAGTTTAAATTTTCTTTAAAATAGTTGGCCATTGAAGCATGCAGTTTTAAAAGGGGTGTTTACATACAAAAAATTAGAAAAATGGGACACAGAAATTAGAAATAGGGACAAAGAATATTAAAATATTAATTCAAATTTAAATCAATGTATTTTACATGTAAGAATAAGTAATTTACATGAATGGAATTGTATTTGATTTTGCGGATATTCCCTTCCATACAAAAACATGGCGCGTCTAATGTCACGTTAAGAGAAAAAATATAAATATCTGTAATTGATTAAAAAAGCCAGTGCCGCATATCAATTAGTCAGTAAACTATAACAATATATCTTCAAAAGCAGCAGAATTGGCTGGCTATATAATAATCAATGACAAACTCATTACTTGATTTTTTTTTAAAGATTAACGATGTACATCTAACCCAATATAATTATATACGGGACA